ATATATATATATATATATATCATGCTACCATACAGCTTTAAATGTAATTTTGTTAGATTTTTTACCATTCTCCTTAAGTAGACTCTAATGAAAATCAATACCCAGACTGAATTCGAAAAGCAACGTACAGAACCGTCACAGGAAGCCATGCACATTGTTTGATAACCAAGTCAATGATTCACATGATAAGACCCTTAGAGAAGGTGCCATTAGGTTTAGGTTTTGTCATTTTTAAGACAGCTGCCACATTAAAATGAGAGGGGATACTAACTCTTTACCCCTATGTAGTTTGTGGCTTAAACTTACTTCAGTTGAGCAAGCATGAATTCCAAGTTTGGTCTCAATTTGTCACCCAGGGGATAGTCAAGAATATATTTCAGAAAAACCTAGAAACAGAAGTCATACAGATGATTATTTGGGTCCTGTCTCTCCCGGATTCCTGCTTCCTAACCTGCTTTCTGACACACACTGGTAAGTTATAAAGACCTTTCAGAAGAGTAATCAATCAGGTGAAGCCTGCCTTCTGAGTCAACAATGCACTTTCCTTTCTCCTCTGACCTCACTTACTCAGGTCCTGCCCCATGTGCCTGATTACGACTCAAGTTCTGGCCTACCACTGGCATGGTTGTTTTGGGCTCCAAATCTAAGCTCACATGTAGGAAGCACCTCTCTTCCATAGTTGGTATGCTGTGGTGGACTCAGTATGGACTGTGGTTCAACCCTGTATTTCCCCCTGAATAAGAATGACAATGGTAATAACATTAATACTGATAATACTATTTATTAAACATCTTCTATATGTCAAACACTGTACTAAGTGTTTTGCAGTTAACTGTCATCAGTCCCTTGGAAGGTAGGGGATATTGACCCCATCTTACAGATGAAGAGAATGACGTTGGAACAGAGAGGTAAGTTAACTTGCTCAGATGACAATGCCAGAATTCTATGCCTCGTCTATCTGCATCCAAAAGCTCTGTTTTCAAGCGATTATACTAATCAGCCTCTTTTACTAATAAACTGCAAAAGCTAAGGCACATCATTATACTTCTTAAGGCCTATTTTTTTCCCAGCCATAAAATGGGGGTATTTCTTCTGAAGGGTAACTCAAACAGAAGTCATGTATGTAAAGTTCTGGACACACAGCTAGTGCTTAATAACTAATAGCTGGCCCTCCCCTCCTTCTTCCTAACAATACTCAAGGAGACTTTTTCTAAAGACCTGCTTCCACCCTTTCCAACGTGGCCTCCTCAGCAGCCCACAGCTTCCTTCAACCCCAAGTTCATATTTCCAGTTCAGACCCTTCCATCCTGGATGTGATATGCACTCATATAATCATGGATGAACAAATGTATAAATACAGATCTTCTCATGTCATTCTCCTCCCTTGATTTCAACAGCTTTCTGCTATTAGAATAAAGCCCTAAAGTCTTTAACAAGACCATAAGGACTTGCCTGAACTGGCTCCTTCCCCATCTTCGTTTAGCTCCTCCAAAAAGCGAGGCCCTTACCGACCTCAAGGTTTACCTTCCTCAGGCTTTGGCTACCTCCTTCACCCGGAAAGCTAATCCTTATTCTTCCTTCACATTTTGGCTTATAAGCCAATCCTCAGGAAAGTCTTCCCTGATTCTAACACCAGGGTGGTCCTCAACCTGATCATATGCTTTTCCATATTTTCTCAATTCTAAGAGGCACAGTTTTTCACATTTTAACATCTCTGAAATCGGGCTATGTCTTAAAATTGATGGCATCTTACCGTGTCATAGATTTTTTTTCTTTCTTTGAGGTATATAAATAATGGTGTGTCTTATAAAAGATGAAATAGGATGGCGCTTTCCCCCTCCTGGCACTTAGTATGGTCTGTAATTAAAGAACTGTGGAATTTTTGCTTTGTGCCTGTCTACTGTAAAAATTTCATTGGTAGGGACTGTAAAAATTTTGTTGACTGCCTTTCCAGCAGCACCTGGCACCCAGTGATATGCACAGTCAGTTGATGACTGGACCAATGGATGGAAACCTTTGGTGCAGGTTACTATGCTGCAGAAGGAAAATGTCTTCACCCATGTGAAACATTCCACACATTATGGGCTATCACTCAAAGTGCTCTATGTTAACTGAAAATGCCCTAAAGACAAAGCAGAGTTGCTCCTCAGACTTGGTAAGTAAATGGGTTCCTGAGTCTTAGAATAAAGCAACAACAATGTGACACAAAATCATCTTCAGAATTCAGCCAATGTTGACATGTCTCTATCTAAAAACCAAACCGAGAAGACAGGACCCAATCCTTGCTATGGGAATAAGGTCTCTCTACAAACCTGTCTGCACTGGACTCTGACAGGTTCGCTTTGTGCAGAAATTGCCAACTTAGATACTTTCCGCATGACATCATCGATTTCCGGGACCAACAACTTTCTTGATAAAATGGCCTAAGATACAAAAGGAAAAGACATCTAATTTCATGTTCTACTACAGATGGGTGTAAGCTGACCTGATGTTAAAGCAGTCATAGGCAACTTCAAAAATAATGGAAGTAATCTCCAAAAGAAAAAGAACATACACTTAAAAATATTTAAAATGGTGAATTTTAGGTTTTATATAGATTTTACATTTAAAAAAAAAAGGAAAAAAACTCCAATGTCCAATACAAGCATGGTATTTTTTAACCTATATTTATTTTCCTATATTTTTATAGAAGTCTCTGGAAGTGTTAATAGAGAGTTCACGTTCAAACATTTAGTAAGTAGATATATTAACTTACAATTAATCCACCAAAATCATAACAATGTTTATAAATTAATTTTGGAAATCTACAGCTAGTCAAAACACTATGCTCCACATTATTCTAAGTATCTAACCCGAGACTCAAATCCAACATTCTGGTGACACTGTACCTTCAGAAGACCGAATGCAGTAGCCTGTCTTGAAGTATCATAAATGTCTTCCTCAGCATATGCTAGTAGAACTTGAAGCTGCTTCTCGGTTATCTGGTAAGACTTCACTTTCTTCACAAGTATGGTCACACACTGCAAATTACAATAGTGAGGTTAATAACCAGGACATCCTACAAATGAAGATCCACTGAAATGGTATGGACTTCATACAACATCAATGCTTTTTTACACAGGATACCAATCCTCTGGCCTTAGCAAATTAATCTGGAAAAGATTCTGGCCAAGACTACAAAGGATGATGGGGAAAACTATTCTTTTGATGTTAATTATGGTCCTGGCTATTTTAAGTACAACTGAAAACACCTCACCTTGAAACAATTTACCACCAGGTGGAAGTTCTGGCCCCTGGCAGCTCCAAGTTTTGCATAGTCCTTCAGCAAAAGGAAAAGGTGTTTGGTCAGCTGTTCTGCTTTTGTTTCTATGGAAGGCAGAGGGAACCTCAAGACCCAGATCAGGCATTGTAAAGCACCTGTGATCACCTGAAAAACAAAAACAAAAACAAAACCTATCAACCTGTGTAGTGACCAAACGCAATAACCCAGCACCCGAGGCTGGGTAGACTCTAAAAGCAATCAAGTTGAAAGAGTGAAATACTCTGCCAAGCCCAGTCTGGAAGCACTATACCAAAAGCCTAAGACAGGAAGGTTTCCTATTCTCTATGGTAGAACTTGTTGTTTCTCCATGGCAAGTAAAGATATACTGCAAGCAAGTTAAGAAAAAGTGGTCACTGTATTCTTAACCTGTGTGAATAAATGATTGGATGGGCTGGCCAATTTTAGCACCTTTGTTTTGTGTATAGAAAAAAACATTATAAATGACTTCTATTTTCTAGAATGGTACTTTATCCACTCTAAGCATATGTGTATAAGGTATTCTATATATTAGAAATACAAAGATAAAGAGAACACGGTCCCCCTATTTTCATTCTTTTTTTAATTTTTAATTTTATTAAGTAGGCTCCATGCCCAGTGTGGGGCTAGAACTCACGACCCTTAGTTCAAGAGCTGCATGCTCTACCAACCGAGACAGGCACCCCACACCATCCCTCTATTTAAGGAACAGACAGCTGGCTCAGAAATTAAGCATGGGAACAATACACTATAGAATTTAATATAGTTAAGTGCTGTGCAAAAGACATGAAAAACATATGCTGGAACCAAGCAATTACATGAGAATCCGTGAACCTCTGGGCTAAACCTTTGAGACTGTTGAGATCACCTAGTTCAGCTCTACCTAAGAGATCCATGCTATTCTGGTTGCTGTAATGGTCTTTTTGGACTGAATTAGACAAAGACAAAGGAAAGGCCTTGGGAGTCACAAAGGCCAGGGATCATATCCCAGCTCTGTAGTTTATTACCTATTTGACTACACAGATGTTACTTAACCTCCTGGCACCTTCACTGTAAGAGAGGTAATCAGAAAATGGGAGAAGTGTAGGCTCTGGAGTCTGACAGACTGAGGCTCATATACTAGATCTGTGATCTGGGCCAAGTCACTTAGCCCAAGGCCTAGTTTTCTCGTCCATAAAACAAAAGCATTAATAATATGTGCCTCATGGGTCATTATGAGGATTCATACCAGTGGGGGGTAGTAGTATCAAGGTTGATGGAGAGGATTAGTGCTGACACGGGGACCCCACTATTCACCCTCAAAACACTGTTGTGAGGATCAAATGAAATAAGTAATGTACGTTCCAGGGCTTGTAAAACCGTTAAAGGCTATCCAAATACATGGGATTATTACACTGGAAAGCAATGTAATGCAGGGAACAGAAGTAGTTTATAATATCATAAATCCACTTAAAAACTCAATCATCTTGTGAAGCACAAGCCTTGAAGTTCTGGATATTCTGCACAACATGGCTCTTGTGAAGGAACAGAACTCACCTTCACATCCATGGAAACCAGGCAATCTATGAGGAGAGAGACAAAAGGATCCAACATTTCCAGAATAGGTTCACTTGAAGACTTGATCTTGGAAGTCTTCAGACTCAGATGTAGCAGCTAGAAGATTCAAAACGGTATTTCACACCAGTTGCCCACAAGACCAAATGAGTTAGGTAAAGGTGAAATGATTTTAAGAGACAAACATGAAATGTTAAGATGCTTCTGTCCTAATGTGACAAAATTTTGAAGGAATGGGAAAGGGCCTGGGACACTCTCTTGTAAGTGAAGAAAGTGGGAGCTCAGGATGGAGCTGAGATGCTAAGTTCATTTACCAAGTGATTACCCAGCAGTTACTTTGATTTAGGTGCTGGCTCTGCACACAGGACACAGCAGTGATCAAGATGAACACAGTCCCTGCATGATGGATCTTAGCCAGGAAGACAGACTAGCAAATAATTAATTGTAAATGCAGTGTGCTTTGAGACTTCTGTGGGGACCCAGGCAAAGGGAGGAGCATGTGGTGAGGTCCTGGAGTGGGAAGAGTGTGGGACTAAAGAACGGAAGCTGGGGAGCTGGGATGTGTGTTGCAGTGGTACAAAAGGAGGCTAGGCCTCATAGCCCAGATGAAGGACTGGGCTCTCAGGAAAAAAGGGAGCCAATGAAGGGTTTTAAAAGGAAATAAATGATCAAATTTTTGTTTTTAGAAGCTCACATCTTTTTAAAAAAAATTCAGAATAAATTTAGAGATGTCCATACAAAACAATAGTGAACCCATAATAATAATGTTAGAGGTCAGAATCATTAATTCTGAGATAATTATATCATCAAAATAAGTACTGGAAGAGAGAAATGGTAAATGGACCAATTCACCTTTAAAAAAAAGTCCCATAATTTACTTACAGTAAGGCATTTACAGTGGAAATGAGCCGTACTGGAAATCTAGCAGAGGATTAAAATAGCCACACTCACTGCGGGTAGCAAATTGCATTTTAAGGTTAATTCTTACCCGAAGCCCGGACTCAATAAATATGTGCATGTTGGTTTTCCTGCTCACAGCAGCTTTCTGCCCACCTCGAACTGGAGTTGGGGGGAGCAGAAGACAGCTCTCGGGTGGGAGACGTGGATCTAGTGCATGGGCTCCTGGATTTCTGTCAATCACGAAGGAGAAACAGGGAGAACACTGTACGCTGCACTCCAAGCAGTTACTGTGGCCCTGCCTGGTGAATGGAGCCCAGCGCTAAGTAATGTGCTGCTCACTGTGGGCATTTTCTCTCCTTTAACCGTGAGAAACAAGAGATTCTTACGTTGTTCATCAAGGTTGTACACAACCCCAGAAAGAGATACGAGATTGATGAACACACAGTTAAGATGAATAGTAAGGAGACACATCTGAATTTTGAAAACATATGCCAAGGAGTTTCTTTTAGAACCAGAAGCAAAATCCAAAGGAAGGTATTTTAAAACCTTTTAAGGTCTAAATATGTGTTTAATCAGTATATATTTAAAATCTATCCTAATTTTGATTCAATAAATAAAACAAAAATGGTCTCAGAGAAATGCCAAAATACCTGGCTGCTAACTCATTCATTTATTGGAAAAATAATCTCAAGGTGAAATTTATCACTTGGAAGACGTTAGCTCAAACACCACTAAATAGTACCATCTTATAACTCAGACAAATACATATATATATACACTACTAAGGTAAATTATTAAATTAATCCACTTACGAGTAAGAACTGAATGGCTTATCAGAAGCAAGCACCTAAGGATAGGTTTTTTGTTTTTTTTTTTCTTTCAAACTTACTTTTCTTTTTCTGTTAACAGGGGGAGATTTTCACTGACCAAACCATAACTGAGCAATAGAATGGATTCTGCAGTCATTTCCTGATTTACAATTAATCCTGCTATGATTCGGCGCAAGGTTTCATGAACTTTCCGGGCCAGTTTTAAACTTGTGGTATTTTGTAAGATCTAAAGGCAAACATAAATATCATGCTGAGGTAACACAGAACTGCATTTTCATTTGTTGTAATGGTAGTTTTTAAAATGTATATTTGCTTTTTAATATATGTTTGGTTTTGTTTTCTAATTAAAAAAGAAACATTCTTAATAAAATTTCAAGTATTATCTACACATAACCTCAATTCCAGAGACAACCACTAGCAGCAGGAAGTGCACCTCTGAATTTCTTTACTCCCTCTTGTGCTCTCTGTTGGTAAGAATTTGGGGCACAGGGTTGGAGATATGATGTGACACTTGGAAGATGTGAACCCTCTAAGCGCATGAGGGGAAAGCACACACACATAGACATGAACAAAATGCAGTCACTACTCATCTGAAACCATGCTAATAACGTGCTATGATGGCCAGGCATCAGGGTTTGATATTAGTCATTGGGCCAAATCAGAGGAACTTAATGGGAATCCAAGACCACCAACCCCAACACAAACCTCAGCACTATAAAGCTATTCCCTTCCCTTGCACAGGACATGGTATTAATAACTTTCATTACCTTGGAGGAACTTGATAATATACATGGAAAATTCACATGCTCTGTTGACTTTTTTTCATCCTCAAAACATATCTAACATTCTTAGGTTTAGATAAGATTAATGCATGGTAGGAACAATTACAGAGTTAATCTAACACCAAAACATTTGGAATTATGGTTAATTCATGTTATTAAATAGTGCTGGTTTTAGTACATAAAATTGTAATAAAAGGAATTATTAACATTTATTGAATGTTCACTCCTCCAGCAGGCACAGAGAACATTATGAAGGTAAGTAAACTACAGCCCCTGCCCCATAGGAGGCAGAATGAAAACAGTGCAGAACCCCAAAGATACAAATGTAGGGATCCGAAGGGGTACGTGCACCCCGATGTTTATAGCAGCAATGTCCACAATAGCCAAACTGTGGAAAGAGCCAAGATGTCCATCGACAGATGAATGAATAAAGAAGATGTGGTATATATATATATATATATATATGTACACACACACAATGGAATATTATGCAGCCATCAAAAGGAATGAGAGCTTGCCATTTGCAACAACGTGGATGGAACTGGAGGGTGTTATGCTGAGTGAAATAAGTCAGTCAGAGAAAGACGTATCATATGACCTCATTGATAGGAGGAATTCTTAATCTCAGGAAACAAACTGAGGGTTGCTGAAGTGGTGGGGGGTGGGAGGGATGGGGCAGCTGGGTGACAGACATTGGGGGGATATGTGCTATGGTGAGTGCTGTGAATTGTGCAAGATTGTTGAATCACAGATCTGTACCTCTGAAACAAATAATGCAATATATGTTAAGAAAAAAAAAAGAAGATAGCAGGAGGGAAAGAATGAAGGGGGGAAATCGGAGGGGGAGATGAACCATGAGAGATGATGGACTCTGAAAAACAAACTGAGGGTTCTAGAGGAGAGGGGGGTGGGGGGATGGGTTAGCCTGGTGATGGGTATTAAAGAGGGCACGTTCTGCATGGAGCACTGGGTGTTATACGCAAACAATGAATCATGGAACACTACATCAAAAACTAATGATGTAATATATGGTGATTAGCATAACAAAATAATAAGAAAAAAGAAAAGAAAGGCGAAAACAGTGCAGAGAATGTGAGCTTTGGAACAGAAATCCTTACTTTCCTCTTTAACCATGACTTTTCTGAACCTGCATTTTCTTATCTGTTAGATGGAAGTACCACTGATCTCAGAGTGGCTCTGCGGATTAGAAGTGATAATGAAACACAATGCTTAGAACATAATACATGTTCAACAAATGCCACTTTTCTCCCTCTTGGCAATCTGGGAGTAGCAATCTGACTCCACAAAAGCTATGTTCTTAGCTGCTCACTTGACCCAGCTATAAAATTCACCTGCATTTCAAATTTTTTGCTTCTGCATCACACAGTTTACATCCAGGACTGGTTCTTGGTTTAGAATGCCCAAATAGGGCTGCCAGCTAGTGGCTATATAGTACAGGTTCCCTTAGCATCAAAGGAAATCCTGGTGGTCAGGTGCAGCATTAAGACTTATCCCGCATGGCTCTTTTCAAGAACTCATGATACCGTAACATGGGGATCTCCTGTATTGCATTCAAGTCCTTACCTCTTTTAATGGAAGGATAAGTTTTGTAACCTGATCTTTTCCTATAAACTTGCCCAGGATTTCATAAGAATCGTAACTTTTGCTTCTTCGTGCCTCCATGACCTTGGAGAGGATCTGCTTCACTTCCTTCTCTTCAGCAATGGCACCAAACAACTCATGGTTAAAAATCTTTGAGAGAAAAAAGCCAAATGGCAGTTATATGCAATCAGCAAGATATGTCAACATAAGTAGTCTCTGATATATCCAGATCAGGGGAAAGCAAGTTAGACAGGACTGAAATTAGATGGTAGGAATTCCTATTAGATTTCACTTTTTCAAGGTAGTTCAGGGACCAATTACTGAAAGACAAGCAAATATAGAAACACCTAAAAGTTTTTTCTAAGGGGAAACAAAAGAAGAATACTATATAGATTTACATATACAATTATGGAATATACAGACAGGTACTACTTCTTTGATATTACCAAAGAGCAGCTTAATTTCTCTTTAAAAAACTAATATGATATGATATTTGCAACTTAATTACCAAAACTGATGTGTTTAATTCAAAATGTTTAAGTGTCTACATTTTTTTTATGAGCAAAGACTGTGTAGCACTTAATCCCACCCCGCAAATTATCACATTATCCAATTTTAAAAATTGATTATGAATTTTTCATTATTCTACTTTTCATTGTTCTAGGTAAAGCTTTATAGCTTTTATATAAACCGCAGACTAAATATATCTGATTATTCCTTTAAAACAGATTCTTGGAAGTAGTTGAAATTTTTGCTTATTTTAAAGTTCTTGATACACAACATCAGCTTTCTTTCCAGAAAGGTTATACCAAAACTCATGACCTACTAGCAGTGGCAGGTGCCCATCTCACGTCACTTGATCAGCTCTTTAAACCTCTGCTAATCTAAGAGATAAGACAGTACATTATTTTCATTTCTATAGGCTATAATTATTCCTTAATTTGTGAACTGATTTCCTGTGTCCTTTGCCCAGTTTAAAAAAAACAGTGAAACTTCCTTTTTCTAAATCTTACCTCTATCATTATATCTAAACAAGAGTCCAAATCCCCAACTTGTAGCTTGTTGGTGAGGCCTTGCAGCAACATGTAAACAGTGAAAGTTAGCACATGGACCTAAAATGAAATGCACAGTGAGAATATGAATGGTGAAGAATACCACATTAGGAAAAAAATAAGATCTAAGAAGTACTGTAGAGGGCACTCAGAGTAATATCTGTCATTACTATAGGGAGAAGCTTTGATAAATATCACCGTGTAAAAGACTAACCAGATGATCACTTTGAGCAAAAGATGCTCAGAAACACATTTCTATGCTTGGGATCTATTACTGACTATGACTAAACCAGGCCACTGATTTATAAAGAAAGGCACAAGAGCCTTGAATTTTAAAAACCAACCTGCGAATTAAGGGGCTTGCCAATGTTGAGTGCAATCAAAGCTGTCCTGAAGGAAACAGACGAATTTTTGCCCTTAATATTAACCATAGCTAACATTCCTAAGAGCTTACTATGAGCTATTAGTACTACTATATGAATACCACACACATGTATTAAATTATTTAATCCTCACCCACTGTATCTATGGTGTAGGTGCTATATTATCAGCACTTTTCAGATGAGGAAGCTGAGGCACAAAGAGATCAAGTAACTTGCCATAGGTTGCATGGGTAGCAGTGGTAGAGTCAGGATTTGAAGCCATATGGACTGGTGCCAGAGTCCCTGCTCTGTATCACTATACTATGTTGCCTCTCAAGCTTTTTGCATTCTTTATGCTGCTTCTAATGCTATAAAATTATCATAGTGAACATGAGATAATGATCACAGGCTAACTAAACATAATTGGTTATGAATATATAGATTGGCTTTTATTTTTTAAGTACTCTCTACACCCAGTGTGGGGCTCAAACTCAACCCCAAGATCAAGAGTTGCATGCTCTACTGACTGAGCCCGCCAGGCGCCCCTCGACTGGATTCTAAAGGCATAATTTCATATGTAAATACTGGAGATCTTTATGTACTTTTATGCACTTAAAATGTTTGCTGCGGGCTTTATACTTAAAAGTCCTTTTGCGGGGGATGAAGAATGACATTTGAGGAGTACAATTTTGAATAGTGTCTACACAATTCACACTAAAACCCAAACTAGTTGTTCTCTCATCCCTATTTTAATTATTTTAACAAATCATGGAATGGACTTAAGGAACAGGTGGTTAGAGAAAAAAGGGCTACTCATTTAAGTATCTCAGGTTCTCCATTAAAATATGGATGAATCCAAAAGACAGAAATATACTGTATTTATCCTTCTATGCCCACGCCTAACACCGCACGTCACATAAAGCAGCAATGGAATAAATGCTGGTTGGAAGAATAGAAAAAAATGAATACTGACAGGGGCTCTGATCCCAGGTAAGATGGAGAACGCACACTCTACTCTGTCTCTCCCACTGAAAGCAGCTGTTAACACCTGGAAAGATGCATGGAACAGCTATTGGGGAAGAACACCAGAATGCAAGTACCACCAAACTTCCAGGGAGTTTACCACTGTTTTCTGTTCAGTATCCCCCAGCTAACATGCAAGTAGATGCCAGGACGAAGGGAACTCTAGGAGAAGCCCCATATCTTGCTGAGTAGGAGCAGGAACACATAATGCTCTACGTGAGGGAGGAAATCCCTGGTTTTCTTTCTTTCTTTTTTCTGTTCTCCCACACCCCAGCCTCCTACAATCCTGCAGTGATGGTGGTGGCAATGGCCTAGAAATGGGAATTGGCAGGAGCCACAACTCTGTGGGAGGGGACCTTCCTCTGCTTTAGTGGAACTGCATGCTGAGAGGGTAGGCCAATGCTAGCTACTCTTCTCTTTCTGTTTCGCCACCACTAGGCCCCTCCTGTGGGCACAGCCGTGGTAAGTGACAGCAAAGTGGGAGCAATAAAGCCCCAGCTTTCTACCTGGAGGACTGAAACAAATGGAAAACTAAAGTGCTAGCAAAGAAACTAAAGATATAAAGAATTAAATGGAAATTTTAGAACTGAAAAACCCAACAACCAAAGTAAGAAATTCATTGGATGAGCCCAGCAGCAGGATGGAGATGAAAAAGGAAAGAGTAAGTGAACCAAAGACAAATCAATAAAAACTATTCACATCCAAACAACAGAAAGGAAGAACTGAACAAATAAAAAACACGAAGAGAGCCTCAGGAACCAGTGGGACAAAAACAGAAAGCTAATATTCATTTCACTGGAGTTCCAGGAGACAGAGTACAGTGCAAAAGAAGTACCTGGAGAAATAATGGCTCAAAATTTCCCAAATTTGGGAAGCAAATCTCAAATAGACTACCCCCCTGCCAGCCCCCCAACCGCAAAAAGGAAACTCAAATACATCGTAATCAAACTACTGAAAAATAAAGGCAAAGAAAAAGTCTAAAGTAGCCAGAGGAGAAAACGATGCATTACTTAGAGGGGGAAAATGATTTGAATAACTGGATTATTCATCAGAAAGGCCAGAAGGAAGTGATTCAACATTTTTAAAGTGCTGAAAGAAAAGTACTGTTAATGATGACAGAAAACTAAGAGCATTTGCTGCCACCATATTTGCCCTACAAGATTGCTGATGGAAGTTCTTAGGCTGAAGGGAAACAATTACCAGAAACTTGGAAATTCAGAAATTAAAGAAGGGCAGCAGAAATGATAAATATCTGGGCAAACTAACAGACTTTTTTTCTTCTTGAGTTCTTTAAAATATGTTTGACAATTACAAGCAAAAACTGTACCACTGCCTGATGAAGTTTTCAATATATGGAGATATAATAGACAAACAACTATAAAATAAAGGATGAAGGGATCCATATGGGGGTAAGGTTTCTATATTCCACTTGAAGTCATAAAATACTGATTCTAAGTAGAATATTAAAAGTAACTATGTATATGGTAATTCCTAGAGCAACCATCAAAAAACTATTCAAAGAGAGAGTTAAAATGAATACTGATATTTTAATGTGTTAGATTTATAAACTATAGAATAGGAAACTTACCTTTGAACAAATTCAGATACAGAAAGTAAAGCTAACTATGAGAAGTCTTGACTGGATACTTGAAAAGAACAAGCTACAGTTTTTCTCAAACTTGATTATCACTCAGGGATCTTACTGAAATGCAGATAGTGTAGGTTAGGTGTAGGGCCCTAAATCGTGCATTTCTTTTTTAATTTTATTTTATTTCATTATGTTATGTTAGTCACCATACATCATTGGTTTTTGATGTAGTGATCCACGATTTATTGTTTTCGTATAGCACCCAGTGTTCCATGCAGTACATGCCCTCCTTAATACCCATCACCGGGCTAACACATCCCCTCACCTCCTTCCCCTCTAAAACCCTCAGTTTGTTACTAGGAGTCCATAGATCTGATGGTTCATTTCCCCTTCCGATCCCCCCCTTCATTTTTCCCTTCCTTCTCCTAATGTCCTTCCTTATGTTCCATAAATAAGTGAAACCATATAATTGACTTTCTCTGCTTGACTTATTTCACTTAGCATAATCTCCAGTCCCATCCATGTTGATATAAAAGTTGGGTATTCATCCTTTCTGATGGCTCAGTAATATTCCATTGTATATATGGACCACATCTTCTTTATCCATTCATCTGTTGAAGGGCATCTCGGCTCTTTCCATAGTTTGGCTATTGTGGACCTTGCTGCTATGAACATTGGGGTGCAGATGGCCCTTCTTTTCACTACATCTGTGTCTTTGGGGTAAATAGCCAGTAGTGCAATTGCTGGGTCATAGGGTAGCTCTATTTTTAATTTTTTGAGGAACCTCCACACTGTAACCGAAAGTGGCTGTACCAACTTGCATTCCTACCAACAGTGTAAGAGGGTTCCCCTTTCTCCACAACTTCTCCAACATTTGTTGTTTCTTGCCTTGTCAATTTTTGCCATTCTAACTGGTGTAAGGTGGTATCTCAAATGTGGTTTTGAATTTCTCTGATGGCTAATGATGATGAACATTTTTTCATGTGTGTGTTAGCCATTTGTATGTCTTCTTCGGAGAAGTGGCTGTTCATGTCTTCTGCCCATTTTTTGACTTGATTATTTGTTTTTTGGGTGTTGAGTTTGAGAAGTTCTTTATAATCTTGGATATCAGCTCTTTGTAGTGTCATTTGCAAATATCTCCTCCCATTTTGTGGGCTGCCTCTTTGTTTTGTTGACTGTTTCCTTTGCTGTGCAGAAGCTTTTTATCTTGATGAAGTCCCAAAAGTTCATTTTTGCTTTTGTTTCACTAGCCTTTGGAGATGTATCTTGAAAGAAGCTGCTGTGGTCAATGTCAAAGAGGTTACTGCTATGTTCTCCTCTAGGATTTTGATGGATTCCTGTCTCACATTGAGGGCTTTCATCCATTTTGAGTTTATCTTTGTGTATGGTGTTAGAGAATGGTCGAGTTTCATTCTTCTGTATATAGCTGTCCAATTTTCCCAGCACCATTTATTGAAGAACTTTTTTCCATTGCTTATTGTTTCCTGCTTTGTCAAAAATTATTTGACCATAGAGTTGAGGGTCCATATCTGGGCTCTCTCTAACAGAGAATATAGACATTGATCTATATGTCTGTTTTTGTGCCAATACCATGCAGTCTTGGTGATCACTGCTTTGCAATATAGCTTGAAATCTGGCAATGTGATGCACCCAGCTTTATCTTTTTTAACATTTCCTTGGCGATTCAGGGTCTTTTCTGATTCCATACAAATTTTTAGGATTGTTTGTTCCAGCACTTTGAAAAATGTCATAGGAACTTTGATCGGGATGGCGTTGAAGGTATACATTGCTCTGGGTAGCATAGAAATTTTAACAATGCTTACTCTTCCGATCCATGAGCATGGAATATTTTTCCATCTTCTGCTGTCTTCTTCAATTTCTTTCATGAGTGTTCTGTAGTTCTTAGAGTACAGATCCTTTACCTCTTTGGTTAGGTTTATTCCGAGGTATCTTATGGTTTTTGGTGCTATTGTAAATGGAATCGTTTCTCTAATTTCTCTTTCTATGGTTGCATTGTTAGTGTATAAGAAAGCAACTGATTTCTGCGCATTGATTTTGTATCCTGCCACATGACTGAAATTGCTGTATGAGTTCTAGTAATTTGGGGGTGGAGTCTTTTGGGTTTTCCACATAAAGTATCATGTCATCTGCGAAGAGAGTTTGACTTCTTCTTTGCCAATTTGAATACCTTTTATTTATTTTTGTTGTCTGACTGCTGTTGCCAGGACTTCTAGTACTATGTTGAACAACAGTGGCGAGTGGGTATCTTTGGCGTGTTCCTGATCTTAAGGGAAAGGCTCTCAGCTTTTCCCCACTGAGGATAATATTCACTGTGGGTTTTTCACAGATGGATTTTATGAACTTGAGGAATGTTCCCTCTATCCCTATACTCTGAAGTTTTAATTAGGAAAGGATGCTGTATTTTGTCAAATGCTTTTTCTGCATCAACTGAGAGGACCATATGGTTCTTCTCTCTCCTCTTATTAATGTGTTCTATCACATTGATTGATTTGTGAATGTTGAACCACCCTGCATCCCAGGGATAAGTCCCACTTGGTCGTGGTGGATGATCCTTTTAATGTATTGTTGGATCCTATTAGCTAGGATTTTGTTGAGGATTTTTGGAATCCATATTCATCAGGGATATGTCTCTGAAATTCTCCTTTTTGATGGGGTCTTTGCCTGGTTTGGGGATTAAGATAATGTTGGCTTCATAGAATGAGTCTGGAAGTTTTCCTTCTGTTTTTATTTTTTGAAATAGCTTCAGGAGAATAGGTATTATTTCTTCTTTGAATGTTTGGTAGAATTCCCCAGGGAATCCATCAGCCCTGGACTCTTGTTTTTTGAGAGATTTGTGATCACGGCTTCAATCTCGTTACTGGTTACTGGCCTATTCAGGTTGTCAATTTCTTCCTGTTTTCAGTCTTGGCAGTTTACAGGTTTCCAGGAAGACATCCATTTCTTCCAGGTTGCTCAATTTACTGGCATATAGTTTTTGATACTAATTTCTTTTTTTTTTTTTAAAGATTTTATTTATTTATTTGTGAAAGAGAGCACATGAGGGGGGGAGGGTCAGAGGGAGAAGCAGACTCCCTGCTGAGCAGGGAGCCCGATGCGGGACTCAATCCTGGGACTCCAGGATCATGACCTGAGCTGAAGGCAGTTGCTTAGCCAACTGAGCCACCCAGGCGCCCTTGATAATAATTTCTAATAATTGTTTCTATTTCCTAGGTGTTAGTCGTGATCTCTCCCCTTTCATTCATAATTTTATTAATTTGGGTCCTTTCTCTTTTCTTTTGGATAAGTCCGGCCAGTGGTTTATCGATCTTATTAGTTCTTTCAAAGAACCAGCTTCTAGTTTCGTTGATCTTATCTACTGTGTTTCTGGTTTGTAATTCATTGATCTCTGCTCTAACCTTAACTATTTCTCTTCTAATGCAAGGCTTAGGCATCGTTTTTTTAGGCATTGCTTTTTCTCTAGTTCTTTAAGGTGTAAAGTTAGTTGGTGAATTTGGGATTTTTCTATTTTTTTGAGTGAGGCTTGGATGGCTATGTATTTCCCCCATAGGACCGCCTTTGCAGTATCCCATAGGTTTTGGAACAATGTGTTTTTGTTCTCATTGGTTTCCATGAATTGTTTAAGTTCTTTCATTTCCTGGTTGACCCAAACATTCTTGAGCAGAATGGTCTTTAGCTTCCAAGTGTTTGAATTTCTTCCAATTTTTTTCTTGTGATTGAGTTCCAGTTTTAAAGCATTATGGTCTGAGAATATGCAGGGAATAATCTCAGTCTTTTGGTATCAGTTGAGACCTCATTTGTGACCCAGTATGTGGTCTATTCTGGAGAAAGTTCCATGTGCGCTTGAGAAGAATGAGTATTCTGTCGTTTTAGGGTGGAATGTTCTGTATATATCTATGAGGTCTACCTGGTCTAGTGTGTCATTCAAAGCTCTTGTTTCTTTGTTGATTTTCTGTTTAGATGATCTGTCTGTTGCTGAGAGTGGAGTATTGAGGTCTCCTACAATTAACGTATTATTATCAATATGACTCTTTATTTTGGTTAACAGTTGGCTTATGTAGATGGCTGCTCCCATGCTGGGGGCATAGATACTTACAATTGTTAGATCTTCTCATTGGATAGACCCTTTAAGAATGATATAGTGCCCTTCTTATCTCTAACCTCAGTCTTTTAGCTTAAAATCTAATTTGTCTGATATAAGAATTGCTACCCCAGCTTTCTTTTGAGGTCTGTTGGCATGGAAGATGGATCTCTATCCCTTCACTTTCAGTCTGGATGTATCTTTAGGCACAAAATGAGTCTCTTGTAGACAGTATATGGATGGGTTGCCGTTTTATGGGAGCATTTAGGTCGTTCACATTGAGCGTGATTATTGAAAGATATGAATTTATTGTCATCATGTTGCCTGTGAAGTTCTTGTTTCTACAGACTGTCTCTGTAAATTTCTGTTCTATATCACTCTTGGGGTCTTTCTCCTTTTATAGAACCCCCCTTAATATTTCTTGCAGGGCCGGCTTAGTGGTCACATATTCTTTCAGTTTCTGCCAGTCTTGGAAGCTCTGCATCTCTCCATCCTTTCTAAATGATAGCCTTGCCAGATAATGTATTCTTGGGGGCATGTTCTTCTCGTTTAGTACCCTGAATCTGTCTTGCCAGCCCTTTCTGGCTTGCCAGGTCTCTGTGGATAGGTCTGATGTTATTCTGATGTTCCTCCCTCTGTACGTAAGGAATCTCTTCCTCCTAACTGCCCTTAAGATGGTTTCCTTGGTTCTAAGATTTGTGAGTTTTACTATTACATGCCAGGGCGTTGGCCTGTTTTCCTTGATCTTGGGAGGGGTCCTCTCTGCCTCTAGGACAAGAATGTTTGTTTCATTCCCCAGATTAGGGAAGTTCTCAGCTACAATTTGCTCAAATATATCTTCTAGTCCTCTCTCTCTCTCCACCTCCTCAGGGATCCCAATAATTCTAACATTGGAACGTTTCATGGTGTCACTTATTTCTCTGATCCTATTTTCATGGATTCTGAGTTGTTTCTCCCTCGCCTCCTCTTTATCCTTCTTTCCTATCAACTGGTTTCCTAGATCACTGATTCGTTCTTCTGCCTCGCTTACCCTAGCTGTTACATTATCTAGATTAGATTGGATCTCATTGATAGCATTTTTAAGTTCTGCTAGTTCAGCTTTCATTTCTGCCCTTAGAGACTGTTTCCATTAATCAATTTCTCCATTCTAGCTATTGTCTTCACAAATGCTACCCTGAATTCCATTTCCGACACCTTGGTTTTATCTGTATCCATTTGTAAATCTGTGGCAGATGTCACAGTCTCTGAGTCCTTCCTATTTTGGGGGTCCCTCCTCCTAGTCATTTTGTTGATGGGTGGTTGAAGGAATGTACAGAGTCCAAATTACTGACCACAACCCAAGCAAGATGTACCTGTTTTATAGGGACCTTAGGGTTGCAAGTCTCTTGTTCTCCCGGCGAGTCTTTTGGGGGAGGGGCCTGCTGCGCTGTTTGGGCAGAGTTGCCCTGCCCGCTGTTGGGGGGAGGGGATGGGCTCAGTGAAAACCGGTTTTTTGGGGCTTTTGTTCTCTGACAGCTTTCCCTGGCGGTTTTCCGCATCTCTTCCAAGAGTCAGAGCAGAAGAGATCGTTTCCAACCCTCTGCCTCAGAGCGGAGAGATCGCACTCTGTTCTTCAGTGAGCTCTCCAGGCCACACTATCTCCGTTTCTGACTGTGCTGCTATAAACTGCAGTGTCCTGGGTTGTGTGCCCCTCAAGCAGGGCTCCCAGTCCTCACCTCCAGGATGGGACACGTCTCTGCCCTTTGTGCTTCTACAACTGCCAGCTGCCACCGTTTGCACATGTACGGCCCCGCCACTCTGGGTTTCCGTCTGGGGGACTGCCCTAAAGTCCTTTCCCCATTGCTACCAGTCTGTGAGTCTGTACCCTGTCCTCAGTGCGGGAGGCTTTTGCGCTCCTGTGTTATTTCACCTTCCCGGCGCCAGAGCTTATAGCAAGCAGCTCCCTCCCCCTTCCATTTATCTTCTAATATCTGCCCACGGAATCACAGCTCCCTGCTTCATACCTCAAAACCAACCACCTGCAATATTCTCTTTGTAGAGATCCAGATCTATCTTCTTACATCTCAGGCTGATTTTGTGGGTGTTCAGAGTGGTCTGGTAGATATCCAGCTCAATTCCGGGGACTGGCTGGAATAGGGTCCCCTACTCCTCCGCAGTCTTTTTCTGCATAATTGTGCATTTCTAACAAGCTCCCAGGTGTTGCTGATGGTGCTTATCCAAGATCCACACTTGTGGAGTAGTGAGGAGCTAGCCAGTCATGTCACTACTTAAAGAGCTTTGTACTCCATCTGGGGTTCCTATTTTATTACTTCTATCATATGGTTCAACTCTTAAAGCAAATGTGTATGTTCTTTATTATTCACATTTGTGGTAATACATTCAACATGCATTCAACAAGAATATTTTTAAAAACTCAGAAAATACAAAACTTGGTATCAAATGATTTGGGAAAAAAAGAGGTTATGTAACCCAGGCCTGTAAGTGACTTTATAAAAATCAAATATAAGAGATTTTTTTTTTCTTTTAAATAGATTTTTAAAATGCTGATTAGAAACCTGTGAATATTCTTGATTGCTACTGTAGTGGATCAACTTGACTGAAGACAAACCCATAGCACCTTCACTTACAGAGTTCAAACTGCAAACATTTGAATTTCAATCTGACCTCCGTGAATATAAGGCACATAATGCAATTTACCTGATATCCACGGACAAGGGTAGTCTGTAACTCTTTTAAAATATACTGTAGGTAGTGCACACCTAGATCTTCTATTATTTTTGCTAGAGTGCTGCGTGCAATGTCTCTGATTTCCTGTGTTCTGTTCTTGAGGAGGGCACACACTTTCAACAAAATACTAGAAAATGAAAAGTTGAAAAGGACTAATCAAAATACAGAAGCAAATAAAAATACAAACATCCTTTTGTCTCTTAATTATTCAGTAACCCAAATTTCCCAGTTAAGATTCGAAATCACAGCATATTTTGATAGTACTTCTCTTCCTCACAAAAGAGATTCAAGAGTCAGGAAGAAAGAACTGATTTTTGAGTTTCACTGAACTTTTCTAATTTGTCACACAATATACCTTGGCAGATTAGCTTCCATAACTTCTTGTGGAAGGGACTGCATTAGTTTAACCATGGCAAAAGCTAAAGGAACGCGAACTACTTCCTCATCATTCACAACTTTGGATTTTATGAGCTTGTGTTCTTCTTCCCTTTTAGTCTGTAAGAAAAATTTAGGTTAAACTAAAACAAAAATAAATGGATCAGGGACCTACAAACATTGCAACCTTGCATTTGAAAGGTAAGCTCTTTTGATACATTTTATGACCATTTCCAAGTTTACGGTCTTAAAATGAAACTAAATTATGCAGTTTGAGAATAACCCTCTAAAAATCATAAAACTAGTAGGAATAAGGTTTTTTCCAAAGGAGAAACCAGAAAAAAATAAAGCCAAATTTTCACTGATGTAGATTAAGACTGCTGTGAAATATATAAAAATCGTAAGAAATCTCTATCAATTGGGATTTTCAAGACTTTGAGTGACACTGTTGGTATGTAAGAAATACAGTGCCTCAAATAAGTTATATTTACAAATATACCAAATGATCAAGTCAATATTTTACACCAGGGGCTGGCAAACTTCTGTAGAGGGTCAGATAGTAAGTATTTTTGGCTTTATGATCTCTCTTGAAGCTACTCAACTCTGCTGTGGTAACATAAAAGATGAATTAAACAGTATGTGTCCAACAATGAGTGTGACTGTGTTCCAATAAAACTTCATTTACAACAACAGGCTGCAGGCTAGATCCCGCCCATGGACCACAGTTTGCCAATCAATGTTTTACACTGAGAAGGAAAGGCTCTGACTTCATGAGAATCCACTGCTAAATAGTATCCTTGTTAACCAGGAAGAAGATGAATTTTGAACAGCAGAGAAGTGGCCAACATGTTGAAAAGGAAAACATACTCTAATTTTTTAAAACTTTTTCTTTTTTGGATATAAGAGTCATCTAATTAACTGCTTTGGAGATAGGAAGCATATGTCTACCATATGAAAATCATAATGAAGAAACATTAGCTGCAGCAGGAGATGAACCTAAAGATGATGAGACAAATCAAGGGAGGTAAAACTGTGAAGTGTTGAGGTAAAAGAAAATCCAAAAGCTGAAGTCAATCAATGATAGTTAGGAGCCTCAGTCTGACAGGGCCACACAAACACCCGGGTTCACACAGACATCCTGCGCCCCAAAGAGAATGATTACCGTAGATGCCAGGCATTTATGTAGCCGGGGAAGGATATCCCCAGTTATGGTTCCTTGGATATTTTTAATTGTTCTCTCCAATTCTTCCTTATTCCGAGGAAGGAAAGAGATGGACTCCGTGATACACTCAGGTTCTCTAGCTGATGTCCCTTCACAATCAGCTGGATCAGGATTTCCCAATTCTTGGCTATTGTCTGACAAACTCTTACATTTGTTTTCCTTCTCTTCCTCATCCATTTGCTCTAATTCCATGGTTTCATGCTCGGGCAACTCAATCACTTCTATTGTGTCTATGTTTAGTAAACAACAAAAGTCACCTTAAATCAAATAAGGAAACAACCCAGTTGTGTTACGTAGTCTTTCCCACCAACATCCAATAAAAACTAGTCATCACTATGGGTAGGCAAGGTAAGTGCTGAGGAAACAGCACTAAATGAAAGGGTTATGGTTTTTTGCTGTCTTACACTTTGGAGCCGAATGACGAATAGAGACAAGTAAACTCACAGTTATGAGGGTGGGAGAGCAAGTACAGGGTACTTTGGGAATATACTAGGAGGCTAGGCTGGGAGGAGGGTCTTAACCAAAAGAAAGCTTCTAAAGTACTGTGGTTGGAGGTTTCCAAAAACAAAAACCTATACTCATGAGCATGAAAATCATAATGGCAGCCAACAGTTGTCATGTGGAAATGTCCCTTACTATAGGGTCCAGTTTATTAAAGAAAATTAGGCAGTACAGTACTGTGGGACAAGTCCCGGCTTGGCTCTGCTAATAAGCCATGTGACCAGCATAGGCTCTGGATTCTTTATTGGTAAGCTGAAGATGGCACCTACCTTACAAGGCTATTGTGTGAGGATTAAATGAGATAAAAAGTCTGTAATGCACCCAAAATATGTTTCTGACACTTCACTGACTTTCAAAAATGGTAGCTATTAGTCTTTATTTTGTTTACTGGCCATGTAGCTTTGGAAAAGTTACTTTACACTTCTGAACTGTAATTTCTCATATCAAAAACGATGGGGTAACTAACAACTAAGGTTCTTGTAAGATTCTTATGAAAACAAATAAGATAATGTCTATATAAAGGTCCAGGTCATAGAAGGTGCTCAATAAATGTTTCAAACTTCAGTCATATCTAAGAAGAAAAGAGATAGTTAAGCAAATTAAGTATCTTAATTTTTAATGTTTCTGTTTATGCAAAATTGCAAAATGCAGATTCCACTGCCTGAAAATAAACCGTTAAGGGGCTGTAGTACATTAATAGTTTAAAACATACATAGTTCCTACAAATTCAAGCCAGTCTTTGCTATTAGTGTGGCTCTACAGTGATTTTACTGTGAATCAAAGAATTAGAAAATTTTGAATAGGAAGGAATGTTGGAGTAGTGCAAACTGAGAGCCAGAATATTTCAATGTCTTTAGCAAAAACAATTAGCCTATTGGCCCATTTAAGTGTTCATTCTTTTCTTTTAATAGGTTAAGGAAATTTCTAATTATTCCTTATTTGATATCAATAGATACTGAATTTAATCAAATGTTTCCCTTGTGTCTCTTTAGATGACCACATGTTTTTTGCATGCTAATATGTTAAATTCCATTAACCAAGTATACCAACTTCATGAGTTGGTGGGAGCTTCCTTTATCAATCATCTGAAATGGCAGGCATAAGGTTGAAATTCCTTAAATATTTGTAGAACTTGCCTATAAAACAGTGTGAACCTGGTATTTTCATCAAGAGGTTTTTAAACTATAGTCAATTTCTTTAGTGGTTAGAGATACACCCAGATTTTCTATTTCTTCTAAAGCCAGCTTTTGTATTTTATTTTTCTAAGAATTTGTATGTCTCACTCAAGTATTCAAATTTTTAAGTATAAAGATCATAACATTATTTAACCTTTTTCATTTAATTGTGATCTTTTAAAATTCATAATGTTTTTATGCCTTCTATTTTTACTGACCAATTTTGAAAGAGCTTTGCCAATTTATAATTTTTTCAAATATCTAAAATTATTTTTAGCTATGATGATCCTTTCTTATTGTATCTACTTTATATTTCATTAACTGTTGCTCTACTTTTTAATTATTTCCTTATACTTTCTTTGCATTCATTGCTTAATGTTCTTTTCATACATGCAGGTGGTAAAATTGGATTTCTATATAAATAGTCTACAGCTCAGATTTTTTGCCCATATAATTTAGACTGGCCTTCTCTATTGTTAAATAAGTTTTTACACAAATACTCAAACCATCTGCTTTAACTTCCTCCTGACTCATTCACTGGTCACTGCTCTAGGAGCAGAAAAGGGTGGTAAGCTGAATTTTGCCATCTTTAATTCATCATCATCAATTATCCAAGAGCAGAATGGAAATTTAGTTTAAGAAAGTTTCAAAAACTTACTTTCATCATTCTGGATTTTTCTCACTTGTTCTTCAAGAGTTTTGTGGTCAAAGTGGAATGCTTCTAACACTATTACTAGCAAACTGTTAAAAAAAGAAGGTACACAGAAATGTTTGCTTGATTCACATCATTTGATTAAAAGTAAACATTTAAAGGCTTACAAACATTAATATTACTTTTACCAGTTTTAGTTATTTTTGATGTTAACAAACATTAACATAACCTCAATACAAGGTAAAAGTAAACTGAGATGAGCAAGACTACTTCAAGAAATAATCCAAAACTGACATTTTAAAGAACAAAGAAGTTTGACCATACATACCTGACACCCAGCTTTTGATTGATCTGTCCTGTCTGTAAAACATGAATGAAATGTTTCAAGTAATAGATATATGCTGACCAAGAGAGATGTCTGCAAATAGCTCCAATAACTTCTGTGGCAGCAATGGTTATATTTTCATGCTGTAAAACATATCAAGAATATCAACACAGAATTACATTTACTAACAAAATACAGAGCCAATTTCATACATTAAAAAGCTTAGATAGTAGGTGATCAGCAATTACAGAAAGGAAGGAATGACCAAGCTATACTCCACCCCCCGCCCCACCTAGCTCTAAGAAAAGACACTGTCAATTAAAGGAATGAAACTGTATTTTAATTAAATGGTATTAATACACTTTGGGTTTTTTTTTCCACTCAGACCTCTCTGATGGGTTCAAGCCTACAGACTGTGAATGAAGTAAATTCATATGTAAAAGTTGACAAACACTAAAGTTAACTTTAACACACAGTTCAGCATTCAACAGTACATTATGTTGGAGACATCTCTTTCATGACATCATAGAGAACAGGGACTGGATTTACCCTCATACCTTAAACTAGAAAAGTAGACAAAAATATATGAAATAGCAGTTTTCAGACTTTGGACATCAAACAGTACAGTTCAGTGCTCCCTGAGAGTATGGCAACAAATGAAGTGTGTCTTATAATTGCCCTAATTCACAGTGTCAAGCACAGGAGGAGAAACCCAACAAGGGCCCAGTGATCTCCCTGATATAAGGAGACAGAGCTGAGGCTATGGCAGCTAGAGTCTACAGGGCAAAGCACCAGACAGGAGAGAGCTATACAGAGTAAGCCGCATAGGCATACCAAGAAGCAGAAAAACACATCTCATGAGAAGAAAAATCAACTAGTTGAAAGAGACCCCAAAATGACACAGATGATAGACTTATAGTAGACAAAGGCAGTAAGACAAATGATAAAATTACATTCCATAAGGTCAAAAAGGGAGAGGAAAGCAAGAACATGTTAAGAAAAGAGAGGTAAGATATAAAAAAGGCCCAAACTGAACATCTAGAAATGGAAAACAGTTCTGGGAGGGAAGACACACTGGATAGGATTAAAAGCAGATTAGACTCTGAAGAAAAGCAGTAAACTTAAAGACACAGTAATACAAAAATGAAACAAAATGAAACCCAGAAAAAAAAATAATGGAAAAAAAAAAAAGAGCCTCAGTGTGTCTGAAACAACTTTGAGTGGCCTAATATACACTGGGGTCTCCAAAATCAAGAAGGGGACCCAAAAGTATCCTTGAATAAATAATGGCCAAAATTTACAAATTTGAAGAACACTACAACTCAATAGCTCCAAGAAGCTCAACAAACCCCAAACATAAGAAACATGAAGGAAACTACACTAAGGCACATTGTAATCAAATGGCTTAAAACCAGTGATAGAGAAAATTTTCAAGGCAGTCAGAAAAAAAAAAAAGATACATTACACTCAGAGTAATAAAGATAGGAATGACTTCTTTTTGGAAATGATATAAGCCAGAAGACAATAGAGCAATTGTCTTTAAAGACCAGAAAGGAAAAAAAACCTGTTAATCTAGAATTCCATACCTAGAAACATTACTTATAAAAGCAAAAATGAGAAAAGACAAATAAGAACTGAAAGAATTCACCACAAGTTTTGCTACAAAAAATCTGAAGGAGGTCTTCCTTCCTATAAGGAGTAAAATGATACAGGAATATATCTGGATCTACCCAAAGGAATGATTGGAAAATTATAATTAATTGGAAGTGACCAGAAATTATAAATATGTAAGCAAATATAAAAGATCTTTCCTTACTTTGAAAGATTTCTTTAAAAGATAATTGTTTATTCTTTTAAAGATCTTATTTATTTATTTGAGATATAGAGAGACAAAGCACAAGCAGGGGGAAGGGCAGAGGGAGAAGCAGCCTCCCCACTGAGCAAGGAGGCAGATGTGGAATTCGATCCCAGAACCCTGGGATCATGACCTGAGCTGAAAGCAGACGTTTAAATGACTGAGCCTCCTAGGCGCCCCAATAATTGACTGTTTAAAGCAAAAACAACAACAACGTGTGGTGTGGTTTAAAACTGATACAGAGGTAAAATCTACAAAAAAAAAAAAAAAAGCTCCATGATAACTAGTAAGCCAACAGAGAAAATAAAATCATTTAAAAAATCCAATTAATTCAATACAAGGAAAGAAAAAAGAGGGACAAATGGAAAATAAATAACAACATCAACAATTTAAACCTAACATATTAATAGTGATATTAAATGTAAATGGCCTAAAACCAATTAAAAGGCAGAGATTGTCAGATTTGATAAAACCGCCAAGACCCAGTTGTATGCTATCTACCAGAAACCAACTGTAAATATAAAGTCACAATGTGTTAAAAATAAAACTAAAAGGATATACCAAGTTAACATCAACCAAAACTAAATATAACTTATTTTTTCCATCTACACCTCTTTCCTATTTTACCGCCATCAAAGTATAAGTTGGTTGTGCCTACTGACTTTTAAACTGGAATTTTGGGGAGTATTCTTTTATTTACTTAGGTAATTCTTTAAAAACTTTTGAAACAACAGGGGAAACCTAACTTTGCACAACACTATGTGATCAACACAGCATAAATTCAAGTCACAACTCCTGATATCACCTCAATTAGACTTAAATTTCTGGGTACTGTCTTTCATTATTCTAAACAATAATCTATCAAGGCCTTACAATGTGCCAGGCACTGTTTTTGGCACTATGTAGTATAATAGTGAAGACAGTCCTAAGTTCAAACACTGATTCTCATTCTGTATGTCTCTAAGAAATTTAAATACCTCACTTATTCCCAGTTTACTTTCCTGTAAAATAGTGACAACAGTCCCTATAGGGTTAAGCTGGGGTGATGATGAAGTAAGATTATATAAAGTACTTAGAATAGTTCCTGTATCTGGTACAAAGCTAAAGAAAAGGTAGCTATTATTTAACTTCATTTCTTATGAGCCATTTGGGAAAACAATGATTCTGCTGATTAATGGCATTTACCAGAATTAAGTCCTATGATACAAAAATAAGAGTATACTAGGTTAGTAATGTGATCATTTATTTCTAAGAGGGGAAATATTTTGTGGTTGGCCTTTGTGGGCTAATAATAGTGAAAATAAAAATTACAACTACCATTTATAGAGCATTTACTATGTGCCAAGTACAATTCTAAGGGCATCAGAACTATTTTAAGTCTCTAATTATTGTGACAACATCAATATGGATGTTACCAACCCCACAGGCACTTTGGAAAAGTGTCATGGTATGGGTAGAAGTTAACGGTTTCTAGATCTAATGTCCTACCTTGAGCATTTTCTCATCAAAAATTGGAGTCATGGCATAAGGCATGATGTAATTCTGAAGAGCTTTAGAAGAAAGCACAACTTTGCCTTCCATTAGTTGTTTTGCCAGTTTCTTCAAGGCTCTTGCTCTTCTGTGGATCTATGAGTTAGATAAAATAAGAATTAGTTACTGAATACACTCACCTACAACAAGCTCCATTTTAGTATCATGTTCCTTTTCCATGAAAAGATTAAAGGAGTGAAATACAGTCCATGTGTTACATGAACAAACACCTGTGCCTTGATTTGTTTCCAGAGCTATAATCCATAGCATTTATTTAACAATGGATCCTAAAACATTTATGTACTTCTTAGGAAATGGCAGAGAAATGTGACACTATTATTGTGGTTTATGATACCATGAAAAGACCCCAGGAAAATGATCATTTCCTGTGCTAATTTGACTGACGATCATGAAGACCAAGGAATGAGAGGCTCAAAACTTTTTGGAAAATTAATATATCTTTTTACATGAGATAGAACAGTTTGAAATGCTTATTTTATAGGCAGAAAAAAAAAAACAACACGGAAGTGTCTTCTACCTGAATGTGCTTCATATTCTCAAAGAAGTCCATTTCTGGATCATGGCAATCAGTAAGCTGTACCAAGTCTTTAAATTCTGGTTGATCTGGAAAGGTTTGAACTAAACAGGAAAGCACTGTGGTATAATCCTGTTGTATATTCTGCAAATGCCAAGTTGAGAAAAAAAAATATTTTTTTAAGAATTTGCTTTCTAGGGCGCCTGGGTGGCTCAGTTGGTTAAGTGACTGCCTTCGGCTCAGGTCATGATCCTGGAGTCCTGGGATCGAGTCCCGCATCAGGCTCCCAGTCTGCTTCTCCCTCTGACCCAACCCCCTCTCATGCTCTCTCTCTCTCATTCTCTCTCTCAAATAAATAAATAAAATCTTTAAAAAAAAAAGAATTTGCTTTCTAGATAATATAAAGAGACACACAAAAAAGCCCGTATAATTTTTTTAATTTTTTTTTTAAAGTAAAACATTCCTACTGTAAACACAAACTATAAGATCAGAAGTGATCACTCTCCTTTCTATTCCTACTGTCCTTTTAAGAGTTTGGTGAGTATTTATGCAATCAAGTATTTTAATTAAATGTACTAAGTCTGACTGCTTTTCAACAACAGTCGAAGTAGGGAAAAATAAAAACAAAACCAAAACCCACAACAGTAGCACGTAAAAGACAAAGATACAATTGAAAACCCCAATACCTCTGTCTGGCTCTTCAATCCTTTCCTCAACTTCTCCAGGAGTGAACGATGAATGATTTCCCTATATTCTTTTTCTGTGACGTTCAGAGCAGCTAGTTTTTTGATGATACTCATCAGGCACATGCTGGCATTATCACTTAAAGACATGTCTCCTAACTGGAAACAGGAAAAGAAACAAAACAAAACAAATTATTCTGTGTAATAACTATAATATGGAATATTATTTCCCAATGGAAGAGTTTACAAAATGTTGCCACTCCTCTACGTAAAGATCCCTCCTAAGAAATGTCCGCCAAGTACATCATACCTAAGGAAGAACCAAATGTAGGGCTGTGAGGAATATGCAGGTATACCTCAGAGATATTGTGAGTTTGGTTCCAGACCACCACAGCAAAATGAAAATCGTAATAAAGTGAAATAAATAAATTAATTTTTTGGTCTCCCAGTGCATGTAAAAGTTATGTTTACACTATACTGTAGTCTATTAAGTTTGTAAAAGCATTATGTCTAAAAAAACAAGGTATATAACTTAATTAAAAAACACCATGATCTGTGATTTCAGTGCATCATAATCACTGATCGCAAATCATTGTAACAAATATAATCATAATGAAAAAGTTTGAAATACTGTGAGAATCAACATAACGGGACACAGAGATAAAATCAGCAAGTGCTGTTGGAAAAATGGCACTGATAAGACTTGTTCAAAGCACCGTTGCCACAAACCTTCAGTTTGTAAAAAAAAAAGAAAAAAGAAAAAAGAAAAAAAAACCCAAAACCCAAAAACACAGTATCTGCAAAGCATGATAAAATGAGGTATGCCTGTAGTAAATAACTCTGAAAAATCATGCTTATTGAGAAGTGACACTCTGATTTGGAAAATACAGTGAAATAGACTTTTTGATTAGTTTTATTTCTCAAACAGAACGAAAGGTTCACTAAAGCCAGTTTTCAATATTCAATATAATGTGTAACTGAAAATGACAGATTTGGGTGGTATAATTCTGGTTAGTTGTGCTCTAGTTCCTGGTTTGAACAATGTAGGTAGTGAACGTGGAGAAAGAAGTATTGTCAACTCAGCCAACCAGGCAGTGATTTGGAGTTCTTTGTGCTAGAATTTGACATTAAATATGAAGAATTAGCCCCAAATGGGGAGATTACTTTTTCACATATTACATAATCATTAATATCAGATGAATAATTATGAAACGCCACAAAGAGATTACTGATGCCATTACATAGTTAACTACAAATCAAGTGTTCCATTCTCCCCAGTTTTGGGTTTTAATTCAGTTCAGCAACATGGTACTTAATATAGTCCAAACCCTATACTGTATCAATAAAAGTAATATAATATACATATTATATGTTATGTACATATAATATAGTGACGAAATAATATAGTGACGAAACTTCAACAAAAAACTGAGATGTAATTGAAATACTATAAAATTCACCCTTTTAAAGTGTATAATTCAATGGTTTTTAGTATATTCATAAGGTTGTGCAACCACTACCACTATCTAACTTCAGAACATTTTTCATCCCGCCCAAAATAAAACCCTGTATCAATCATAAGTCCTCCCCCCGGTTCCCATTCCTCCCTCCCCTGGCAGCCCTAGTTAACTACTAATTTACTTTCTGTCTCTATGAATTTTCCTATTCTAATACACAGCTTATGGATTTTTCAAAGTGCTTCCACATGTATTATTTTATTCAAAATATATGTCTTTTAAATCACGACAATAACAATATGGTCTTCACCAAACAAAATAGTCTGCAGCTAAAAGAAATTTTACACAAAAATCTTTGTCTTGGGGCGCCTGGGTGGCTCAGTTGGTTAAGCAACTGCCTTTGGCTCAGGTCATGATCCTGGAGTCCCGGGATCGAGTCCCGCATCGGGCTCCCTGCTCAGCGAGGAGCCTGCTTCTCCCTCTAACCCTCCCCCCTCTCATGTGCTCTCTCTCTCTCATTCTCACTCTCTCAAATAAATAAATAAAATCTTTAAAAAAAAAAATCTTTGTCTTGCTCAAAATACAAATTAAGAAATCAGGTCATGTAGTTGTATTATCAAAACAATGAAAAACAATCCATAAATTTTTGCTATAAAAACCTACCTCCATATTATAGAAACAATTATGCATAACTGGAATTAGGTAGTTAACATCCACAGTTTGCATCTCTTTAATATAAGAAATGATGGTCTGGAATGTTGAGAAGCGAACATCAAAGTTGATATCATCAAGATGTCTTTGATCAAAGGCGTTAAGCTACAAGAAATGAAAACATTGAAATACTATGAAACACTGAAAACAGAGATGAAGGTATATAAATCTTAAATAAACAAAAATGATAATACTTTTGAAGTAAAAGAGAAATATAAGACTTTCTCTCTTACCTTGACAATATCAGTAATATATTTTAATCCACTCTCAAAATCAGAAAGAGTCTAAAAGGAATGAAAACAGTATATTATTATTGAATAAAACCTTAACTTTTCTGCCCTCCTCCCTTCAACTCCCCCTTTCCTCTCAAATTTATATGAAACATCATGTTGACAACAAGAAAGCTGTTAATATGTGTTACATGTCATAGTTATCTTTTTAAAAAGGGGTGGTTTGGGGGTAGAAATGGGCATTACAGACCTGGAAAACTGTACAAAGCAATTGTCTTGACAACTTATTTTTAATAACCGAAAAGAGTTTTGCTAGAGGCTTGAGGAAGCTTGTAGGCTCCAGACAATGTTTCAACAGGTTTTGTACTGTCACCAAAATATCAACCTCTGTATCCTTAAGAAGAAATATTAAGAGAAATTACATTTCAGTAATTTAGAAAACTGGTCAACTTGGCTTTAATATTACAGCACAAAAAACAAACAATTATCACTAAGAAGCAGAAGTAGTAATTAGAAAAGTTATTTCACAGGCCTTTAAAAGTTCTTAGCATTTTAACTTAACATAAAATCCACAATAATGTCCACTAACAGTTTCTTCCTTTAATTCTAATAGAAAAAGACACATGGTTTTGGAACATAATTTCTTCTATGTCTAGTCCAAAAAGGGCCAAGAAAAATGAGCTTGTTGAAGAAAAATACACACTTCTGGTTGTCTACAGATCTGTGGTCTTCTATACTGAATTACTATGTGGTAAGAGATGTTCAGTGTAGCTACTAAGGTCTTACCGAGTTTGAGCCATGGGAAGACTCTGACTTGAGATTGAACTAAGGTTTGAAAATCATTTTAGAAACTCTTAGCTGCATGTAATATTAATATAGACTGACTTTTCATTCAGTTCTTTAACTGTGATCCATATTTAAGATTATACAATGCATTTCTTGGGTTCCAGATTTGTTATTGATTAAAGTGAGAGAGGAAAAAAAAATCCTGAAATGGACTGGAAGCTAAAGAAAGGAAAATGACTTTTAGGACTGATGATGGTGCTTCTACCTTCTTGCTCACCCTCATTCCTACCTCTGTCCCAATGTTTCTTCTCTATTTTTAATTTTATATTTCTGTATAAAGTCTTTTTGCAAATACATCACAGAATCAAACCAATGAAATTACCGCTCATGGCTAAACCTTAATAATGAAGTGCCACTTTAAAGACAAAGCCAATGTCCTGTGAATTTGTACCTGAGCAATATTGCCACGGTGAAGGAAAGGAAGAAGAAGTGTAATGAGTAGAGAACTTTGTTCTTTGTCTCTGATGAACTTGCTGATCCTAGAGAAGGGGAAATACTGATATGTAAGGAAGATAACACAAGAGTACTTCTCTAAAAAGTTAAACTTTTTGTAGAAAAACATGTTACATACACAGGTGGCTTTTATGTGTTCATGTAGGAAAAGTTTAACTGACTTATAGCAGTGTCCACTTTTATTTCTCTCCAACTTCAGGCTCATGGCTACTATTCTATTTCTCTTATAACATCTGATTTTGTACGTGGGTTATAGTAAACTCCGATGCTATAATCTAACAATTAGTAATTTTTAAAAAATTTTTTTATTTTTGGGCGTCTGGGTGGCTCAGTTGGTTAAGTGACTGCCTTCGGCTCAGGTCATGATCCTGGAGTCCCGGGATCGAGTCCCACATTGGGCTTCCTGCTCAGCAGGGAGTCTGCTTCTCCCTCTGACCCTCTTCCCTCTCGTGCTTTCTATCTGTCATTCTCTCTCTCTAATAAATAAATAAAATCTTTAAAAAAATTTTTTTTAAATTTTTTAATTTTTTTGACAATAATTTCTTATTTTACAAAGAAAATAACATTTTTTAGTGCCAAGACTTGTTTAAGGCTTTATGTACAGTATTTCGATTTAACTCCCACGATACCCTTCAATGTAGGAATTATTTTTAGCCCCATTTTGCCCAAAGAAAACTGAGACTCAGAGAAGCTGACATCACACAGCTAAGAAATGGTAGAGCAGACCTTTCAAACCCTGGTCTTTCTGGTGCCTAATCTCTCATCCACTTTGCACTACCACACAGCCTGTGATAAAATTTAATGAGTGTATTTTGTGTGGTTTCCCATTCTGCATAACTTAGAAATACAATAGTATAAATAAAACATTTCAAAGAAGTTCCTGAAAGATTCTAATATATCACTTTTTGTTGTTGTTGAGGTCACAGAAAAAACAAACTTTTAAACAGCTAAGTCCTGTAACAATTTAAGAGTTTAAATGGAAACATTTTTTACATTCTGTAAGTTTATCAACCTTGCTACAGAAATCTCAATTATATATTACTAGGTCTATTGCCAAAAAGAATCTTTAAAAATCCTTGCAAGATCTTTACCTTAAAAAACAAATAAACAAAACAAACACAACCTGCTCTTTTAAATGAATTATTTTTTAACAATTAAACTAAAAAAAATAGGAAAAATGTGATCTCATGTAAATCAAAACTGTAACTGAACAAAATATATAAATCTGTTAGTCAAGTTTAGAATTTTGAAGACTCTTCTCTCATAATAAAATGAAGGCAGATGCCATAAAAGTTTTCTAATGAATATTCTGGCAGAGAAACAGAATTCTATATTAACTTAAAAATGAAGGACATTTAAAACTACTGAAAATCTTTTCAGCTTATTACCACATTAAAATAATTGAAAAACTAGATATAATTTAGCAAAAATTAAAACCACGGATAGTATTGTTATCTTTTAAGGACCAATATATCACTTACTTTGACAGAATGCCAAGTTCCTTACTGACTTGTGCCCTATTCTTCTTCTTTTTCACCTTTTCTGCACTTATTGTGGTTTTGCTGAAATACTGGAGAATTGCAGGAACATGAGGTAGAATTAACTGTCCTCCCAACGTGACAGACTCTGAAAAAAAAAAGTGATAAATGTTTTTATTTTAATTAACTATTCTCTTAAAGGATAATCATACACTATCTTCATAATGACAGACAAGGAGAGCACTCAGTTTTCACAAAAATTTAATAAATTTCAACTCTAAAGATTAAATCACTTTTTTCTTAGTCACAATAGCTGTTTTATTAGCTAAATTAAAAATTGATATGAGAGACCCCTGGGGCTTTATGCAAGCCATTTTTGGTAGTAAAAGAACTGTTAGGATAATTTGACAGGAAGAATTCAGAGACATGACAGTGGAAGTCATTTAATAATTTCCTGATGGACAGTTGAGCTCTCTGGAGCATAATTCTGAATTTCTATCACTGGAAAGAAAATTGTTTATAGAGAAAAGAAAGTTTTTTAATAATATAAGTAATTAAAAGAATCAAATTGTATTGACTTTTTCCCTTTCTGAGGGCACAAATGCTATTTCAGAAATCTAAGAATCATTTGCATTGTATAGCACACATACCATCTGCACTTTCTGTGTATACACATCCAGTTACTGGCAAGCTCAAAAGTGTTTCTGTGGGTTCAAAATCTGGAAGGTTAAGAAGGTCATCAGCTATATCCATCACAATAGTGGCTGTGGCTTCAGAGAGATTCTTTGCTGAGAGAATTGCAAAAACGTTGGTCAGAATATCACACTCTGGGTACCCAGGTTTCTGTTTAGCCAGGAAAGGGAAATATCTGCAAGGAAAAACACTGAAATTGTCATCTTATTTCTCAATATATTTATTTCTGAAAACATGCTCCATATGCATTTTCATACTGAGTTTAAATATATATGTGTATGAACATCAAAAGGGAATTTATTTTTTTTTAAAGATTTATTTATTTATTTATTTGAGAGAGAGAATGAGATAGAGAGAGAGAACATGAGAGAGGGGAGGGTCAGAGGGAGAAGCAGACTCCCTGCCGAGCAGGGAGCCCGATGCGGGACTCGATCCCGGGACTCCAGGATCATGACCTGAGCTGAAGGCAATGGCTTAACCAACTGAGCCACCCAGGCGCCTGGGAAATTACTTTAAATTCTAAAATTTGATGGATAATTCTAGGCACCTCAAAAGATTATGTTATTTAGGCACTTTATGTATATCTCTCATTTAATCCTCATAACATCTCTAGAATGTGGTAACATTGTCCCCACATTACAGATTAAAAAACCTGAGACATGTCTAAAGCCTCAGCTAGTAAGTAGTAAAGCTGAGATTTGAACCACAGTCTAAGCCTTTTCTAAAAGAAGTGTATTGAAGACAGGCTACTTTTCAATTATAAGCCTTCTAGAATGTGAACGTTTATACCCTCACATAAAAACCAATGCACTACAACATGGGAATCAGGAGTACAGACCAAAGAAATATTTGCTGTATCAGGATATGCAAGATTCAGAGATCATGATCATTTTTTGGGAGAGGTGGGTGAATCCATCCCCAAGTATGAAAGATGAAAGACTCACACAAATGATAGAAGCATCCCAACCAGAGGAAACACACCAACAAGGGTAGAGAGCACAAAGGCTTTCCAGCCAGTGGCAAACCAGCAACTGTTTTATGTCAAGGATGTAGTCCTCTTAACAATCAGCAAGAAGGTAAAACCAAACAAATTCAGATAGTTTTACTAATTTATGATCCTTTGAAAAAGAGCTCAAACACTTTTAATTTACTTAGTACTAACAAACTGAGGAAAAGTTCTAAGTGGTTGTTTTCATACATCTTTGTCCAACAGATACTGGGCATGGCGTGGGCAGGCACAAAGCCAATGACTTTCTTAACCTTCCAGATTTTGAACCCACAGAAACACTTTTGAGCTTGCCAGTAACTGGACGTGTATACACAGAAAGTGCAGATGGTATTACACATTACCATCTCTATTATCAGTGAGGTAGGTACTGCTATTATTTCTATGCTATAGGTGGTAAAATGGAGGCTCAGAGAGGAGAGGCCAACTTTGTCAAAGAACATGCAGTGGTGCTAGGATTTGAAGCTAGGTTTGTGTGGCTTTGGAGACTGTTCTCTTAACCACTATGCTGTATGTTGTCTTAACATGTTTTCAAGCACAAAAGGTGAGAGGACTGCTTTCAGTTGCTGCCAAGGTCCTAGCAAGAACCCATTCAAATTCAGTGCAACTTCTAAGTGACCAAACTGTGTTTCTTGAACAGCAGTAGAACTTGAAGCCAGGGTATCCTGGACATGCTCCATGCTTAAGTGTACAGCTCTGTCAGAAATTTCAGTCACTCTTTCAACACATAATGAATACTGACTAACCATGGATTAAGATGGGTACAAACCCCCCGTGGAGGAAGGTACAGTAATAAATGAGAAATGGTCTCTGCCCTCAGGGAGCTTTAGGTAGGTCAGCTATTAAGAAATGAGTGCATTAAAGGCAGCATGTAATCACAGGCCCTTCCGCGAGTGGGAAGCTCAGGGGAAGAGATGGAACCACGCGGGGGTCATGGTGGTCAGAACCGGAGCAGCTATCAGAGAGAGTGGCCAGGGACAGTCCCAGTTTATCTTGGTTATCCTGGCTTAATTATTTATAGGATCTCTTTTCGCCCTCAGGAATATAGTCAGGATGATATGATCAGTCTAGTTAGTGAGCAAGTTTTTATTGTCCTGAGTTCACTTAATTTCTGAGACAATTTAACCTTAGTTGTGAGCTTGAAAATACTGGCTATAGTTCAGCTCTACTTGCATCTGTCCAAATACAAAGTAAAATGCTAGACTTCTCTGTAGATGAAAACCTGTTTGAATGTCTGACACTATATAAACGGTAACCATACTTCAAAATAGAATTTTCTTTTACTGAAGAGACACATTCCCATCAAGTGGTTCTGAAATATGCATTTTTAAATTCTTCCACACACAACAATATACACGCATATCTGTTGTTATGGAGATTTCAAGGGAAGTCAATACTTCTAAAGATTTCTTTCAGGTAAGAGTTACATAGAAAATTAAAAAAAAAAGTTCTGCAGCCTACGTCCTCTATTGCTCTGTGGCTTCTATTTTTCTCCAACCCATAATGAGAAAGACACTGCAGAACGTACAATGAAGTGGCACCCAATGATGGGGATCTGTACCTTAAGTAAGAACCCAACTAATATAACAGGGAGTCACTATTGCCAAGTGTTCTCAGATAAAGAGTCCTTCATAGGACATGCAAATTATACAGCTATAAAACATTTCTCAAGTATGCCTATGAAGTGCTGCTTATAAATGTCCAGTTATAAGACAAGATATGAAACAGCTTTCTCAAGTTGGGAGATAAATGAAAAGAGGCCTTACTACCCGTAAAAATATTTCAAACAGGTTTTCCTGAGGAAGACAATGTCAAGGTCTTTGGTTTGTTTCTGATGACTATTTAATGATGGGGAAATGTTCATGATACAATGGTACAAGAAAAAAAATAAAATCAAAAGTTGGTTATACAATATGATACCAATTTTGTAAAAACTGATGCCAAGATATTAAAATCTTGACCTTTACTGAATCAGTAGTAAAAAAAAAAAAAAAATTTTTTTTTTTTTTTTATTTCTCCCTTTCTTTTTCAAAACAGATCAGGGCAAACTTAAGTCTGTTTCCATCACTGAAATAAACAACATAGGTTTCTACACTCAGTAAATATGCACTTGGTCTGTGACACAAGCATCTCTGAACCATCTGTAGATAAAGGTCTTGTAAACAGCTCATAATGTCCTCAAAAGGATGTTGATTTATGACTATGAGAACTCTATGTATATTTAGACATAGTTTTACAAGAATGGAGGACATCTAGAAAAACTAAAAAAGCCTGTGAAATTTTCCTGATTTTAAGTGGTAACTGGGAAAAAGACACAGAATGCCAATTACAAATCAGCTTTTATTTTTAAGCAAGCATGCAAAAAATAGGAATATTTATAGTTGGCATAACTACAGGTATCCCCGGCTTTTTGAAAGTTCATATTATACCACTTTGGTTTTGTGAAAGAAGGTGGTAAGCGAAAAGAGCCTTCACCATTTGTTTTGCAGCGAGCCGTTACAGGGGCAGCATGCACCTCTTGAGCAGCGACAATGGCCCCGTCAGGCTCCTTCCCTGGAAACTACACTCCGTAGCTCAGCATCCAGCCGCCAGAGCTGTGAACAGTGTCTGGGAGCATCTGCGCTTTATCTCGATTTATTTTGTGCATCCCTTAGCAAGATGTGACCTAAGGTATCGGAAAAGCCTAAGAGAAGTTATTTTTTGGATCTAGAAACACTAAAACATTCTTCCATATAAATTAATAGGAATTATTTCTTTGCTTTATGCCATCTCGGCTTATGAACGGTTTCACAGGAACTTTCAGATAGCAGGGGAAACCTGTATCTGCCATGTTTCACATTCTGTTTTTCCCTTTCCCAGGCCAAATCAAACTACTGAAACAATTACTACAGATTAGAAGAACATCCCTATCATTTCCAATACTTCTGATTTTTAAGTATTAATGAAACTGTAAAACTAGCAAAAATGCATAAGTTTTGCTAGAATATATACTCTACAATTTTAACTTACATTGCAAAATGTTATTTTACCTACTTTTCCCTTTTTTAAAAGTTATAAGTGAACATTCCAAAAATATCATAAAAAGTACCTCTTCCCTGTTCTGGGGTACCCAAACCTCCACATGCTATAGTAACATTAACAGTTTCTCACGTATCCTTCTAGACATTTTCTACTTCATTTTATATTTATATGCATGCACAGGTATTTTTCTTGGATTACACTGTTCAGCAACTTGTATTTTTCTTTAAACCTGTGTATTCTGAAATTCAGCTACCTTATTCTCTTTAATGGCACCTGTGGTATTTCACCATAAATTATATTATTAGTAACCTTGACTCATTTTGACTAGATTGGTCTAAAACACTGTCCTTTTTAAAGGTGGGAGAAAAAGGGTCATACCTTGCATTTCTGCTCCAGATACTAATTAGTTTCAGCAGAGGAGTAGGAGAATACTGACTCTCAGATCCAAGCCTTCTGATCTAGGACACAAAATAAAAACAGAATACAAAATAAAAGCACATACAGAATTGTGTGTGTGGGGGGGAAACAACTAAAAAGCAGAACAAGTATAGAAACCACACCAGAGGATAAAGAGCCAAGGGACAGAGATTAACATTTAAAGGACAGACTGAAGAAAAAATAAAGGAATCTTAAATAATATCTACCTGGGAAAAATGGCAAAGATGGAGCAAGGAAGTGCTAGACACTTAAAAGGAATGAGGTACTTTAGGTTTCAACTGGTTAGAAACAGTAGAGCTCAAGCAGCTAGAATTCCTAAAATCAAGTCTCCTCCATAGTCTTTTTAGCTATAGTTATACCAGGTATCATTACAAAATGGTTACAAACAAGGAAATATGTAACAAGAATATCTGTGTATTTTCTCTTATGCTTGTCAAAATCCAGACACATCACTGAGGTGCTACAACAGTTAGATTCCATTTGCTTAAGATACACAATCATATTCTAAATAACCTTAAGGTATAAAAGTCACGGTATTACAGAAACCAGCTCTTGAGCTTTAGGTGACAGTGGAGGGAAAGAAAAGTGTTCTAAAACTTCCAGAATCAAAGGAAGACTCGATGTAAAAGACCAGGACTCGCATTCATAGACTGTGCTGGTTAAAGTAGTAACAAAGGAAGTAGCAGAAGGTATCCAAGCAGAATGTAGTAATAAAGTTTACCTGGGGCCAAACTGCACCATGAAATACAGCATCAATTTCTTCAGTTCTGAATTGGTAAGACTCCCAATCCAGAAAGATGTCAGTTACCATTTTGATTCCAAGACGTCTTAAATTTTTCAGTGGGTTAATAAACCTGAGGTGTATCTGTAAAACAAAGACCTTCTCTTAAAAAAAAAAAATGTATTTCATTTTTATCTTGATTCCTCAAGGAGGCACTATTGCTCAGATGGTTAAGAATCAAACTGGAAATTCTGTTATTAAGTCTGTTGACTGTGGCTCTGATTCACGTGGAAATTCAACTCATCATATCATACTGCTTTTCTAATCAAACAAGATGGGAAAGCAGAAGACTTAAAAAATCAAATGGTGAGATGTGCTCCACTATCACTGCCCAGTAAATTCATTGTAAAGTGTCCTGGGTGGGGGGGTGGAATCACAAGTGGAACAGCTGTTTTGTGTCCTACATTATTGTATTTCTTTATCCAAGTAATTGTCTCAAATAAAATCCCAATTTCTTCCTATGAACAGAACATTCTAAATAAAACAAACTTTTTTTCCCTTTGCCATCACAATGCCTTAGATTAGGGGGGAAATCAAACCTTTATTTCAAATGAAAGTTACTTTCTCTTTTGTTTTCATAACTTGTACTATTATTTTTTACTTTTTCTAAAACTGGGAGTTTTCAATTATTCTTATTAAAATTAGTCTAGGAGACTAAAGAATTTATGGTATCTCTATACTGTAGAACACCTCACACAGTATAAGAGAATGAGGCAACTGAATCAAGGCATGAGAAGATCTCAAAATATATAGCTCAAAGAAAAATGCAATTTGGAAAAAAATCACAATTTGTCTGTTTAGAGGCATAGAGGCTGGAGTGGGCAAATTAACAGCAAACTTCTTTCATAACAGACTCTGCTACTTCTACTGGCATCTCCTTCCCTGCGGGTTACAACATCACAAATATGTGGCTAGTTTCTTCAGGCTCAGAGCAGAATAATTTATTGAGCCGCCACCAATGAGTCCAGTGGTATGACTGCCATAGGTCTGACCTCAGCTTAAAATCTCACTGAAGGAAAATGTATTAAATTACATGACAGACTGAAAATGCCAAAGATATCCAAGAGGGGAGGAATTACAAATTTGAAAAGGGAAAAGCTTCATGGAAGAGTCAGAATTTCTAGTGGATCTTAAAGGAATGTTGTAAAAACCAAACAAATGAGGTAAGGTGCAACCCCTAATTGTTTTTCCATTTGATTAATATACTGTGGTCTCTGGATATGTAAGTGGTGACTTATTTTTACATGTGACCTTAGTGACCTACATCAAAATCCAAAAACCACCCTGAAATTTATGAAGACAACACGATACTCTAATATAATGAACATCAAGTTTTATGGCCACAACATCATGAAGAAAATTGTAGACTTTAGTTCCTAGAGGAATAGTCCATTTGACTGAATTTCATGTACATTTAAAAGTTACCCTGTTGTTTAAATGTTCCAAAATAATAAAATCAAACTAAAACAAACCTCATTATATACACTTAAGTCAATGCCTTGGAGGAACTAAAAGATACAAAAAAAGTAAATGTGTAACTTAGCTCAAATACACAAATGTAGAAGTTTAACTTACTTAAGCAGTATTACTGTGCAGTAATTCATTACAGTACCTTAAGGAATTCTTTGAACTTGTCCAAGAATTTTTTAAAAAGCTCCAAACTATCAAAAAGCTTAGCACCTCACTAACTAATGATCTATGAAATTGCATAAATGATCTTTTGAGTTACTGATTATTGACACAGGAGTAAGGCTGCATTACTGAGTAACTTCTAAGTTAACCAAAAAGTCAGAGAACTTTTACAGAGTTTATAAAATCTCTAACCTTTCATGATTTAATATATACAAGTATAGATAAAGTCACTATCACTCACTGTAAGGCATAAATGAAAATTCTCACAGAATTCTCCCTATGGCCATGAAGCTCTCATACAACATAAAGAATTTTCCAAGACCTGTTTTCAGCTTCCACTGCTGGCCCTCCACAAGCCTCTTTTTCACAAAGTAATCAGAGTGAAATTTTAAAAACATCAAACAGACCTTATCCCTCACTCCCTGGCTTCAAACTTCTTCAGTTTTCCCAGTAGACTTCAGAGCGCATTCATCTCAGAGCCCATGAGGCCCTATCTACCTCTCGACTTTATCTTACATGATTCTTCTCCCTCCTTGTGCTCCAGCCATCTTGCCCTTCCGTCTGTTCTGAGAATACGTCAAAACTGTTCTACCTCAGGGACTTTGCACTACTAGCCATTTTCTCTGCCTGAAATGTTCTTCCCACAGCTGGGTAGATAGAGGAGTTCAAATATTACCTCCTTAGACCTATCCACTCCCAGTTTGGTCACTTCTTATCACATTCTCTCAATTTATTTTAAACTCTTCATGTCTTCTTGTCTCTCCTCAACATGCTCATGTTTTCCTCTACTTTTGTGAATATATGGAGTGTATTCCTAATAGCTGTTTTAAGTTTTTGGCTAATTCTATCATCTATGCCACTGCTGCATCTGCTTCTATTGATTGGTTTTTTTTCCTTATTATGAGTAAAATTTTCATCCGTCTTGGTATGCCTGGTAAAACTTGACTGGATGCCAGATACTGAATTTTGTTTTCATTTAAATCATTTGAAAGCTTTTGAGTCATGTTCTCAGATGTAATTAATTTACTTGGGAAAAGAGCATGAGCTTTGTAAGCTTTGTTAGGTATTGCTAGGGCAGCCTTTATTCCAGAGCTAATCTGGTTCCACTACTGAGGTACTCCCTTGCCTAGGACTCTTCCTGGTGCCTTGGGTATTACGAAGTTTCTACTCTGGCTATTGGGAACATGACCTGTTCCTAGCCTTGTGTTAGTTAGAGGACTGTTCTCTGCCTGCTCCTTTCTCACGGTTTTTCCACATCTGTTCAAGATGGATCAACAGGGACTTGATTTGGCCTTCCTTCTCAAGCAACTAAAAGACTGAAGAGCATCTGTGAGAGAATGATTTTTAGATACTAGACAGTGGGCAGCAAAGGGCAGTAAGCCCTGAGAGGGTAAACAGATGAGGTGAGTACTATACGTTCCCCAGATTCCTGGTTGGAGTTTCAGGGATTACTGGGAGAAGGAAGAGTCTAGGCACAGGCCCGTCATCCTCCCAAGATGAGGAGACAGAGTAGTGTGGCTTGGGGAGAATGAAAGGCAGAGTACTGGAGGGGAGAAAGCTACACAGACATCTGCAGAGGTTCTCATTTACTTCCCTCTCAGGTCTCACCACCAACTGACATTATTCTAATTATTTGTGTATTTATTTATTTATTCTTTTTCACCCATGATACTGAGTCCTTACCTGTCTCATTCCCTACCTAGAATGATGTATGATAGATGGTAGATGTGAAATAAGTATTTACTGAATCAATAAATGGACAGGAATTTTTGTTTGCCTTGTTCACTGCTCCATCTCTGGTGCTTAGAACAGTGCCTGTCACATAGCAGGGGCTCAATTAATATTTGCTGAAGGAATGAATGAAAGAATAAAGAAAATGGTGTCTAACAAAATAGAAGGTGTGTTCTAAATCCCTGGAGCTTGGTAATCAGAGAATATTATTTCATCACTAAAGCAGATTTATATCCATGTGTAGCCCAAGAAACAGCGTAAAATTCTGGCTGTCAATTTTTAGTTATCATGACCATACCTGAGAGGCAGTTCACCAGGCATATCCACAAATCAAAGGAAACAGATTTTAGCCCAATTAAAACTGTGCCCATTTATCATTAACTGAGAATCAATAGCAGAAATCTTGAGTCTAGATCTTCACTTCAAGTCCCATTAAGAAGCCTTTAGTCCATAAAGACATTAAGTTTCCCTAAGCTTTCCAAAGAGCATACTTACGCCCACACACTTGTTTCAAGAGAACATAAATGTATAGTCTTTAATACAATTCAGAAAATATTTACTGAGCACCATCTTGTTAAGCCTCTGGCAGTTAGCTCAATGCTGGGTCTTGCTACTTATCCTTATTCAAAACACTGCACTTACAGTAGGCAAGAATTTACTTGTAAAAGACCTCTGGGCAACTCTTATCTCAAAATAACAAGGATGATGCTAACCGTATTCTGTTCATTCTCCAGCCATTCTTGATAGAGTTGGAAGATGTCCTATACCTCGAGGCTCTTGAAATCAGCTCAACTTATCCCTGATTTTAGTTTGAGATGTATATAGAACTAACTCACACCCTATTATTTAAAAACTCTTTAAAATACACAAGTGACATACAGCTGACCCTTGAACAACACAGGGGTCAGGGGCATTGATCCCCTGCACAGTCAAAAATCCCTGTATAACTTCTGACTCCCCAAAATCTTAACTACTAATAGCTTATTGTTGACTGGAAGCCTTACCGATACCATAAACAGTCAAATAACACATACTTTTTATGTTTTACGTATTATATACTGTACTCTTACTTTATAATAAGGTCAGCTAAAGAAAAGGTTATTAAGAAAATCATTAGGAAGAGAAGTACTTTATGGTGCTGCACTGTATTTATCGGAAAAAAAATCCCATTTGTAAGTGGACCCTCACAGTTTAAACCCATGTTATTCAAGGGTCACCTGTAATTTGCATCCTCCAACTACACATAAATATTTAAAACAGTGAAGACTGTTAGATATTCAGGTCCCAACCAATTTCCCAAGTAAAATGCTTTAGCCCAAGAAGAAAGCAACCTCAGTGAATGTCTCTCACCTTTTCTCGCTGGTCAAGGATGTGCGATGCAGTCGCTGTCATGCACAGCAATATCTGCAAAATCTTTGGTAAGTATGCACTGATCAGATGACTGATGTTCTTCAATACTATTTCAAGGCTATTTAAGATACCATGCTGACGACCTAAAGGAAGAACTTTAGACAAATCCAAATCTTCTACTGCTTGAATGACTGCAGAATGACATTCTCCTAGTGAAAGAGATATCATATAAAAGGAAATATTACTCTCTGATTACAGATTCCTTTGGTCAATTCCCTCAATTATAGAGTATTTTCTATTGTTCCAATGATTTACAGATAATGTACTTTCCTAATGTATTTTCTCCTGATTCTCTTGCCAAATATTCAATGAACTAGGCATGATAGGTTTTAGTATTATCACACTATAGATGAGGAAACTGAGAATAAAGGAGAAACTTGTGCCAGAATTAAGTCTCTAAGCTCCATTCTCAACCTACTTAGACTACTCCCCAAAACCTGAAATAGCAATAGTCTTCTGTTCCACCTAACAACTTCCCATACATTTTTCTCACTCTCAGCTTTCACTGTCTATGATGACTTGAGCAGTTCCATAGAAAGTGTCCTGCCTGCTACATCAGAAGCTTCTTGAATGCTGAGGATCAAATGTTTTCTCTTGCCACCCCTGAATAAATAAAAGAATAGTCTTTTATAAATAGGTACCAAATTGATTTTGTAATTTACTTAAAAGACTTGAATTGTTATTGCATGAGCTTTACTTGAAACCAACAGGCATGAGCTTTACTTCAAACCAACTGGTATGAAATCATGAGCTTGCTATTTCATACACCTAAATGGTCTATCCAAAAAGAGTATCATTTATAGCTATCCTCTTACAATGGAAGCTGTTTCACTGAACAAAAGCCTTTGTCTTCCTTCATCAGAGCCAACTTCCTTCGCAGGGCAATATTACACTGAACGAAAACATTTTAACAGGTGAATCCATTATCATAGAAACAATACAAAATTTCATACAACACATTACCATGCAAATAAATACCTGTGTTTGCCTAAAGCAAAGTGATTATGGGGTGAGAGCAGAGATTCTACAGTCAGAAGTATCTACTATTTTCTAGCTGAGTGGTCATAAGCAAAATAGTAAACTCTCTAAGCCTCAGTTTCCTCATTGGTAAAATGGGAATAGCCGAGTAATGATACCTCAGGTGGTTGTTTTAAGGATCAACTGAGCTGTATGTAAAAGGGCCCATCATAACGTCTGGCATGGAGTAAATGTTAGCTATTATTATTATTATTAATTACTAACATTGCATACCAGAGAAAAGACCATAGAGCATTTCAGCTCACTGGATATACCTATTATATACACTTAGTTTAGATGGTGACGTTGAGAGCATAAATATTTACTTTTCTATTTTCAAAAGTATCCAGGGCACAGGAGGTATTCAACAAGTCTTTACTCAATAGATGAATGACTCAGTGAATGAATAAATACTAAGACAATTAAAATTAATTTCTCAGCATGCCCTAAGTTTCTAAGGAGAAACCTATACATTGTATCTGGGTAAGTACCATTTTTCAAATGGCCTAAATGCACAACAGCAAAAATACACATTTCTTTTCTTTCTTATTTTTTTTAAGTAATCTCTACACTTAATGTGGGCCTCAAACTTACAACCTTAACTCAAGAGTCATATGCTCCACCAACTGAGCCACCCAGGCACTCCCAAAAATACACATTTTCTAATCAGGGGCTTACTGACCCGTGGATGATGATAATCGCCAGGATCAACTGTGAGCTCCACCTAATTCAAACTTTAAAGGCCACCAATGAGATTGGAAGGAACAATCCCATTAGAAAGATGTCCAAGAGCATGGGAAACCTAGCCTGAGACATCTGAAGTCTACAGCAGACAATACACATTCAGAGTAGCAGGAAGTTGAGAGCTACCATTCTTGAAGTGCTTCACAGGTTCAAATAGCAGGTCTAAGAATATCTGGATCTCCTCCGGTTGGGTCCCAGCGAGGAACCTCAGGACAATGGACATGCGGGTGCCTGAAGCGGCTTTCCCCTGAGTTTTACTGCCAGTCTTATTCTTCATTCGGCCATACAAAATTCTAATAAGTCAAAAGAATATTATTTTGTTTGCACATTAATCCTAAAACATAATAGTAGTCATTTTGTTTTCCTAAGAGGCTAGAATAGCAATTCAACAGGCTTAAAAGGTTATATTATAAAACAAGGAAGGATGAAAATAGAAATTAGATATTTAACAGAGAAAATTTAGAACAACAAAAAACAACCACAAAACAAAAAAAAACAAGGCTGAGGGAAGTAGGAACAAGGAAATAATAAAGATAAAAGCTGAAAGGTGGCTCTTTGTAGGAGGAAAAAAACAGTAAAATAGGCAAGCCAAATGAAAATGAGAATACACAGATTAACAGGAAGTAAGTGAATACAACTCTAATAAACAAGGAAACTGGAAAGACTTCAATTAAATGGGTAATTTTCTGGAAAAGAAAACAGAACAAATAAGCAAAAGGAACTTAAGAAGAAAACCTGAATAGAACAGTAAACATGGAACCCATACAGTTCTTCAGATGAATTTTCTAAATTTCAAGGAAAACTAATCCCCATGCTATAAAGTTTCATAGTTAAGAGAAAGAAGGAACAGTCCTTTCTCATTTATGAAGGTTGAGATGGGTTGAGGAACAAAAACAAAATTATAAAATTATATACCAATCTTGCTTATAAACATAAAACCCTATATTTCTAAATACAGTATCCAGTGCTGCATTAAAACAATATTAAAGCCAAATAAGGATTTATCCCAGGAATGCAAGAAAGAATCACTAATAAAGCCTATTGGATTGATATAGATCAATGGCTCATAGGAAAAGTTAATATAATCATTTTAATACATGCTTAACAGGCATTCTAATAAAATTCAATATCCATTGCTGATAAAATACTAAACAATCTAGTGATAGGACTTACTTTCTTAGTATGGCAAATGTTAATTTATAATAAATGTTAGTGCTTTAACATTTGAAATTGAAACACAGTGGTTTTTAAACTTTTCGATATTAGGACCCCTTTATATTCTTAAACATTTTTGAGGTCCCCAAAGAGCTTTTGTGCATGTGAGTTTTATCTATTGATATTTATCTTGGTAGAAATTAAAATGAGTTAATGTAAATAACAATTTTAATGAAAAATTTTATTTTCCAAATCTCTCCCCCACCAAAACTTAGTGAGTCTAGAAGCATGTTTTACTTTCCTTTTTTCACATTTCTTTATTGTCTTGCTTATTAGAAGATAACTGGATTTTCCTATCTGCTTCTGCATTCAATCATTTACAGTATATTATAGTTGAAGAAAATCCAGCCTTAAACAGATATGCAGCTGGAGAAAGGAAAAAGTATTTTGTAAGCCTTCAGGTAATTCTTTTGAGATCCTTGTGGATATCCCACTTTGATACTACAGCAAACCTCAACAAGTTAAAGGCTAGTTGCAATGCAGAATCTTAAGCCTTATTAATAAGCTTTGTGATCTGTTACATTAAAGTCCATCTGTCTATCTTGCACTTTGAATGGATCTTTAGCCATGAACGATTCTGTAACTTGCATCCATTATTTGGAAAACACGCCACTCCATGAGGATTCAGCAGAAGTGCTTTACGCACACTTCCCACTTCATCATATAAAACAATAAAAAGACAAGTACTTGAGGCTTAAGACTTACCAAGAACATTAAACGAAACTAGCTTTTTTTCTTTTTTTAAACTCTGGGTGTGTGGCAATGAAGAATGCCTTGTACAGTGCGGAGCCACTGTCCTGATTAGTGCTAAGGCACCCACAGTTTTACCCACTGTTGTTTTTTGTGTTGTCAACACAAATCTGGGCACGGTGGTAAAAGGTAATGTCTTAGTAGTATTATTAAAAAAGTTCTAACCTCAGGGACCCCCCAAAAGCATCTCAGTGACAGCCCCTGCCAAGAAGGAGCAGACCAAATTTTAAAAAGGGCTGCTCTACAAGCATTACTGTTAAGTCCACTAGCAACACAGGGATAACCACAAACACTACCACCACAGTTAATTCTTCTATGATGTGTAGGTAATACGTAAATTAAAAAACAGAAAAAAAGAGGGTTTTTTTAATCATAAAATAATGCAAAATTAATTTGACTAACATTTTCTACAGGCCATGGAGTTTACCTTCTGGCAGGGGAGAAGAGTGATAAGTAGGAGGCTATGTCGGACAATTGTGAGGAATAAAGCAAGGTAGGAGACTACCGGGTGATGACAGGAAGGTGTGATTTTACATAAGGTGATCAAGGAAGGCATCCTGACAATATAACATTTGAGAGGAGACTGAGTGAAAAAGAAGAGCTAGTGGTCATGTGTTCAAAGTACAGGGAAGAGCAGGTCCACTGACATGGAAGTGGGCTCTGAGGGGGGCGGTGAATGGGTGGTGGGTTGGACATACCAGGCCCTTGAAGGAGGAATAAGGACTTTCTACTTTATTTCCAGTAAAATGGAACCTCAAAGCGTTTTTTCCTTTTTTTTTTTTTTAAAGATTTTATTTACTTGAGGGAGAGAAAGAGAGAGGGAGAGAGAGCATGGGGGAGGGGCAGAGGGAGAGGGAGAAGCAGGCTCCCCACTGAGCAGGGAGTCCAACTTGGGACTCGATCCCAGGATCCTGGGATCATGACCCGAGCCGAAGGCAGAAGCTTAACCGACTGAGCCACCCAGGCGCTCCCTCAAAGGGTTTTTTTAAATAGGAGTCTAACACTTTGATGACTGTTACTATTACTTTTTCATCCAAGAAAATCCAATAAAAACAATTAAAACTAATAAGAAAGGTTTGTAATGTGGATGGTTAAATAATCAACACCAAAAATCAATAGCCTTTATATCTCATAGTTATATACCCAACGAATTATCTTTACTCTTTTTCAATAATAAAACTTAGAGGAATAGAGGATTCAATTTTAACATTATTATTAAAATAACTCCATGGCAAGATCTTTCCTTATGTTAGGGACAAAATATTTTAAAATAAGTCTCTATAACAATTTGATTTCCCTAAAAGGTTCAATTAAAAAAAAATCAAAATCAAATAAAAAATGAAATACTCCATTATAATCACTGAAAGAATCGTAATAGTATATTCATAATTGTTTTTGTGATCAACTTTTAAAAAAATCAGTTTTAAACAGTGTAAATACCTCATCAGAATAGGAAACAGATCTGCTCGGTGGGCTGTTTTCACTACTGAATTATCTTCAGAAATGCTAAAATGCACTATCTCTTCCTTAAAGCTTCTGTCTTCAAGCAATCTTTGTAAGTTTTCCCTTTAAAAATGGAATATAGCACAAATCATCACTTAAAAATCAATGGTACTTTAAAAAAATGCAATATAGTACAGTAATTTGTAAACTGAACTAGGAACTAAGAATATCTACGTTGTGGTTGACATCCATAAAGGAAAATTTTCACAAAATAACAGGTTTTCAAATTTTAAAAGGTAAAAGTGATTGTGAGGAATTAAGACTTAGTCAATAATTCAGCTGTTTAAAAGAGATTAATATAAAAGCTTTCTTCAGTTCTTACAGAGAGTGATCAGTATGATTCCCTAAGTAATCACCAAGATTTTGACATTATTGAAGCAACAAGAAATGATATAACCTTCTCAACATATACTTATCAATTAGTTGTCTCTTTCCTACCTTATTATCTATGGAGAAACATTCTTAATACACAAATATACTTTCAATTTTCATTTCTTACCTGAAAATAGCATTATGATTATAGTAGAAAAGGGAAATTTCCAGGCCTTCATAAATTTATTTTAGAAGAGGCTCTAATGTAGAAAGTTAAAAACCAGCCAAAGAAAGTGCATTTCTTTAGCTTCAAATAACTTACCTGTAAGGGAGGATATGTGGATGTCTGTATGTCATTATACAATCCAGGGTTATTTTTTGCACCATTTGATCTTGATGTAGCAACAACTAAGAATAATATTTTATAAAATAAGTTAATGAAGTTACATATACACACACCATGGGATAGTAATTTACTTGTGTCAATTTGCTACATTAGATTTTTACAATCTCAATTTTTAGGTGTGGGTTAAAGCTGATTGCTGACAACAGCTTTACATCTTCCTGGAGGTACAGCACCAATAGAATACATGCAATGAACAAAGTGGAAACAAAACTCTGACCCCTGAATCCCACATGCCAGACCCTCGGGTCTGTCAGTCTTTTGGTCAAGGCCAAATCCCTTCATATATTTGGGTTTATACCAGCGGGGCTGGTCCCATGATGAGGGAAAGCTCCCACAACACTGTGAAAGTAATGGCAATCGTTAAGATTCCAGGAAAGAAGACCTGGCACAGAGCCTCTCAGATCAGTTAGTTAAGAATTTTGCTTCCTGCAGTTTTGAGCTCTTGCTTTATAAACAAACTGTATCTGAATTACGGGGCAGAATGAAGATAAATTCTGCTGAAATCATAGAAGTTCCACCTAAAAAACATCCAAATGAAAAAAGGAAATTTTGTTTTCCCAGATGGCTTAGAATGACATCCAGTGCTTACTCTGCTTCTGACATCAAATTTTTTCTGCAATCTTTTCTGTAACTGAAGATCATATATTGTGACTGAGATAGATTCTTATTCCAACTATCCAGCTTTCACTCAGTGTAATAGATCCTGAAATCCCAGCACGCTGTAAGGCTAACTTACCTAAAAGTAAAAAGTAGTTACCTTTTTTTTGGCACAATCTCCACTGTTAATACAGCTCACCAATGTTTAGTCACTCAAAATGTCTTTAAAATTAACAATATTAGTACAGTCTAAATCTGTTTCTCAGGACACAGAAAATAATTATTAAATTTTTAGAACACTGTACTTAAAATGTAGACATGGGCCCTATTCATCAACAATTATTAAGAACCTAAAAGTTATTTTGGTGAACAACAGAGAAAATTCACAAAGAACTGCAGTGGCAAGAATTTATTTTACTTACCTGAAGATACAGCTCATATAATTTAGACTCCAGATATAAGGCTCGTGGATTTGAAAACTTAGAGAAAACTTGCAAATGAGCAATTAACTGCCTAAAAAAGCCAAAAAACAAAAACCATAGGGTATTACAGAATTAAAGAACAGAGATTTTCTTTTTTTCTTTTTAGAGAGAGCGAGCACATGCATATGGGTGGGTGGGGGGCACAGGGAGAGGGAGAGAGAGAGAGTCCCAAGCAGGTACAACGCCCAGTGTGGAGCCCAATGCAGGGCTCGATCTCACAAGCCTGAGATCATGACCTGAGCTGAAATGAAGAGTTGGACACTCAAGTACCTGAGCCACCCAGGCACCCCCAGAGGTCTTCTTTTCTTTTTTTTGAAGATTTTATTTATTTATTTGAGAGAGAGAGCATGAGTGGGGGAGGAGGGGCGGGGGGGGGGGAGAAACAGACTCTACTGAGCAGGGAACCCAATGCAGGGTTTGATCCCAGGACCCCGAGATCATGAGCTGAACTGAAGGCAGACACTTAACCGACTGAGCCACCCAGGCATTCCATCCCCAGACATTCTCTTAGGATCATAATACCCACCAACTTTAGTCTTTCTGACAAGTATGCCAAACACCTTGACTATAGTTTCACTGTTAATTACACAAACAAGTTTTAGTTATTTGCATTTCAGAAATTATTCTCCAGAAATTCCGTATCTCAGGCAGGCCTTCCCCTAAAGTCCAGGCTTCCCCACCCCAGAAAATCATTCAGGATGTGCACAGAATGGTTTAAATTAAACCAGAAACAGAAAGAAAGTAATCAGAACAGCGATGTATTTGCAAAGCTGAACACAGATAATTTTTGGAATGACTCCTTGTCTGGTTTCTATGCAGTAGACAGGTGGTAAAATACATTCTTCCTCATTTTCATACAACATAAACACTGATGTCGGGAAAGAGAGGTCCATATTTGGACAACCATAGCTCTTGCTTACCAAGAAGGAAGAAGAAAGAACAACACCCTGTGGTCAGAAGTTAAATATGGAGATGTGACTCCAAGCCAATGACATCCACTGCAAGAGGTCAAGAAGAGAGCTTCCACTACAATTACTTGCTTGACTTCTTAACTCATAGGCTCCAGAAAGCTTTAAAAATACTTGGCAAACAGTTTTCTTTCTGTGTATAACTGATAAGATGTATTAGGGCTTTAAAAAAAAACCCTGAATGAATAAGTGGTTACAATTTGGAGATTTTATTTGCCTATTTCAAGAACAAGAGCAGGGAGAAGTGAAGAGAGACAGAAACCAAGCAGCGTGTGTGGTACTGACTTTGGGGAAAGTGACTGAACACTTCAGAGTCTCCTTTTCCTCATCTTGACAAAGACAAGATCTGGACTTTGTGCAAAGACTGAACGAAAAAACAAGAGTTATGGGGCTTCTGTTCCTAAGAGTTTAGTAAAAAATGTGCCTCTCTGCTCCTGGGCAAAAAAATGGAAAACTGTAGAAGTCCTACTGGTTAATAGAGAGAAAATAATCTGGAAGTTATGACCTTCTTACATATGATAGAGAAATAAGTAAGGTAGCACTTCTGCTTATATTTAGCTTAAACGCCTGTGATGGTTAGTCTTATGTGTCAACCTGTCTAAATTACAGTATTTAATTACAACATTAAATTACATGTAATGAAATACTAATCTACGTGTTGCAATTAAAGTATTTTGTAGATATTCACATTTATAATCAGTTGACTTTAAATTAAGGGGATTACCCTCAATAATGTGGATCGGCCTCATCCATGAGGTCTGAAGAGAGAAAACTGATGTTTCCCAGAGAATAAAGAATTCTGCCACAGGACCATGACATAGAAATCCTAGTCTGTGAGTTCTGGACTCAAGACTGCAGCATCAAATCCTGCCTAACTTTCTGGCCTGCTGTCTTGCCCTACAAATTCTGGACCTGCTGGCTCCCATAATCACGTGAGCCAGTTCCTCAAAATAAATTTGTTTATGCGCGCACACACACACACACACACACACTCCTTCACCCTCTTCGTCTGCTTCTCTGGAGAGCTCTGACTGATACGATGTCCCTACATACTTATCACTGAGTCCTTGCAGTTTGACAAATAAACTTTTAAGACTTTCTCTTGAAACATCCCTTCTTTCCCCCCAATATTTATTATATTTTCATGAGCCAGGTAGCCTTAAAGAGCCAGAGAGAGGGGCACCTGCGTGGCTCAGTCAGTTAAGCATCTGACCCGTGATCTCAGCTTAGATCTTGATCTCAGGGTTGTGAGTTCAAGCCCCAAGCTGGGCTCCATGCCCAGCGTAGAGCCCATTAAAAAAAAAAAAAAAAAAAAAAAAGAGCCAAAGAGAACAGGAGCCAATTTACATGTTTTCAATAAATACTTGCCAGCAAGAAACATGTTCCATAACGGATTATAAATCTGGGATTAGGAATGTATTGAAGTGGCACTAGGAATGTGATTACCAATTTACTTACATTTTCAATGGTGTATGTTAGCAATATTCTAAGTTTGGCTAAAGATGTGGACCTTATCCCTAAAGACTGATTAACACGGCAGATCTATAAAAAATTAATATCCAAGGCAAGGAGAGGCACCATGATAGAGGCATGGATGGCTCTTCTGAAAGTCTGAAGCCGAGTTAAGAGAACTTTCAGTTTAGAAGACAGGAGAAGCTTCAGTGACGAAGTAGTACAGGAACTGTTTCTGGAAGTATGAGTAGAATTTCAGTTGGCGGAAATGGGGCAAGGGCACATTATGGATGTGGGGAAGGACACAGAAAAGGTCCAGGGGTGAGAAAGATGAGGCATGACTGAATAAATAGCTTATTCATTTATTCACCAAAGACAAGGACTAATCTTTTGCTATTTGCTGAGGACATGAAGAAGAAAACCACGATTTTTGTCTGAGAGGGAGTAGCAGGGGACAGAACGCTCAGGGATCTGTCAGGTAGAAACAGAGAAGGAACTACAGCTTCAGGATGCGCAGCCATGCTCTTTCTTGCCCCTCTGCCTTACACACTATCTCCATCAGCTGCAGAGTCCTTCCGTGCCCCAGCTGCCTGGCCGACTTTCATCTTTCAGCTTCAGTGGGGCCCTCTGTAACAGTCTTCTCTTTGTGGTAGAATTAAGTCATTTTTTAGTATGTTCCTGTAATACCTTGTTTTTTTTTTATTCGTCTTATCCTTGAACTCCTTTAAAAATACTTCTATAAAAAAATTCGACCAGGCATCAGACTGTGCTTTCTGCGTAGTGGAGGCTAAGTACCCTTCATCTTTGCAGCCCAACACTTAGAAGGCACTCAATACAGTTGCTGAATGAACCAATGAAGATCTAAAGTTTTAAAATAACATGGAAGCACCAATACACTGGATCCTTGCTGCCCCAATTCAGACAGTCTTCAAGCAAGCTGCAGGAACTTCTGAAAGCCTGATCACTTCTACTTTTTCTAAGATTTCTTAACAAGTTAGGTAAATGAACAACCCACAGGACAGGAAAGAGAATGTAAAAGCATGGGGAAAAAAGGCAACCAGGCAAGAAGTCAAAAGGCAAAGTAAAAGTGCTGACGCAGTTTATTTATAAGAGAAGAGATGTTCCATTACGTGGTCCCCTAGCAAAGAAACATAACACCGGTGCCATCAAAGTGAAGGGCAAAGGTCAAAGAGTATTCAACCACTCCAGGCCCAATGCTCTATCTGTAAAAGACTTATGATTAGATGACCCCCAAAGTCCCTCCAACTCTAATAGTCTGAGGCTAACTAAGAAAAAATTAGTAATAACAAGCAAGCAACCAAAAAACTCTGAAGACAGGAAGTTAAGAAAATCCCCGGGGGATATACAGCACTTATGTAAGTAATCATCTGGGTGGTTCATCTTGTCCAAGGCTCTGTCACACTCAGGCCATCAGAGGTCTCATCCCATTTCTCCTAGAACCCTGGATCTGTGATCTTTCAGCAATGCTGAACTTACTTTGCTGCAGCTCTTCTTGTCTTTTTCTTCTGTGAGGGTTCGTCCATGGGCACCACTTCTTCCTCCAGCTCTTCAGCATCTCCTGCAGCAGGTTCCTCTTCTACTTCCTCTGCTGCCTCCCCTTTGGCTTTCCTTCGCAGATCCTGGGTTGGAGCGACTTGCAGGTCTGCCGGGTAATACTCATTGCTATAGTGGAAAGAGACGAAGCCGAAATGTCCTCATTCTGTTTATGACAGATGGATGCACGGCCATGGTTCAGAGTCACACACTGAGCAGTCTTCAGCAGCACCTGAGCCAAGCCTCCTCACATTATTTTTTTTTATTCAGCCCCGCTTAAGTACCCTATTTGACAAACTACCACTAACTGCAGTTACACTTTTAAAATCGCACTGTTGAAAATATTTGAAAAGTCCCTTTTGGACAGAGTTGGAATCAGTGTCCCTGTTTCTGGAACCATAACTGGGGGAGGTAGTGTAGGGGTGGACTATATTAAATAATTAATTAAAGCATAGCATTAAGAGCATGCTGGTCACTTTCCACCAGACACATTCTACTCTGCTAATGTCCTTTTGCAAATACAGTGCCTCAGTGAAATTCAGTCCTCTGGACGTGGTCTGGTTAAGACAGATGGAACGGTCAACTCTGTTGCATTAGGGGGCAGTCACAACATGACACTGACTCAAACTGAATGTCCAGGCAATGAAAATCAGTAAGTCTTTCCCTTTTGTCTCTTTAAGCTTGTGCAATTGGTATTCACAATTATTTTTATTAAATTCCATCCCTTTAATTGTGGCCCATTGTTTTAAGTAACTAATATCTTGAAGGCTGTCATATAGTGCACTGGTTATGTGTCACTTTAATTTACTCATGCAACAGTTATTCATTTGTTGTCTGTTTTGTGCATGGCACTGGGCTATGGATGTAAGGAAACTGATCAGACTTTAAAGTCTGCAATTAAAAATATACTTATAAAATAACATGTGTGAGGAGAGCACCCTATCAACACACAGAAGAAACTCCAGGTTAATACATGTTAAACTCCAGGTTAATACACATTAGACACCTGGAGAGCTGAGATGCTACACCATATTCAACTTTGTATTCTCACCCAGCAGGATCTAGCACTAAACACATTAAAAATGGATGAGTGAATTAAAATGAGCCAAGCTGCTGTGTCAGTTACACACCATACCATCATCTACTTAATAACATCCTAGTATATTCTCAACATTCAATTAACCATATAGGACATATTTGTTTAAACCTTTTCTCCATATGCACAGCATGCTCACCCATGTTAAGTGAGCTAACTCAGAGCGCTTATAAGAATGCTCCTAGTATGTGGCAAGTACTCATTAGATGTCACCTATTATCAGGATACTGTGTCATCATTAGTGATTACTGCTTCTGGTTTGGTTCTCTCAAAGAATGGTTATAAGGGATTCACAAATTAATTCTAATACTGAATGGTTTGAAACATATTTTGAAATACAAATTTCTAGTCAAAAACTAAAAAATACAATAAGATAAAATAAAAAGCCCATAATATATTTCAAAGTTGGAATTAAAGGTGACATTTGAGTTTTCCATTAGTTTGGATCATCTATATAAAAATACTTGCTACAGGTAATCATTGCCAACTAATTTTAAATATTTAAAAAAATTGTGTGTCTTTAGTCTCTAAGTCTTTTTAAATTCAGAAACCACTTCTTTTTACCAGCTCCTCTCTCCATCTTTAGTAATCCATTTGTAATCTACTTCTTTAGGGAAAAATTTGGAAACTTAACATGGTAAGAAATTTATTTCCTATTAACACCATTAGTCCTAGCTTGCATACGTATAGCTTTTTGCACTCCACAAAACAAGTGATAAACATTATATGATATTCAAAACAAGGCAAGGAAGCTAAATATCACTGTTTTCATTCTATAAGTAAATTAAAGCCTGAAGAATCAGGCGAAAAAATCATTACTCTTCCACCATGGTGGAAGTGTATCTAGTGATCTGCCTGAATTTTCGCTTATAACCTTTGCCAGAATGAATTATTCACGTATACTTTTCTACTTATGCATTGGATCCTATCTTCTCTTAACTGTTCAAAATGACTCCAGCAATTTTATTCCCACTCTTGCATTACAAATCTTCCCTCCCTTCATTCATACCAGCGTTATACAAATATATGCTGTTTAAATCTTTCATAGCTATCTAGCAACAGCAGCTCTCTCTGCTCCCACCATCTCCCTCTACCTGTCTGCTTCTTTTTTACAAGAACTGCCCATACTCGTTTTCATTTTTCTTCTCCATTTCCTTTTAAGCTCATTTTAATCAGGCTTTCATCCCTAATAGGTTAACCAAAACAACTCTTGTTAAGGTCACTTCTAAAGCCAATGGTCAAGCCTTATGCTTCATCTGACTGATGCCTCAGATATGTTTGATCCAACTGATTACTTCCTCTTTGAAATACTTTCTTCACTTGGGTCCTGGGATACTACAAGGTCTTGGTTCTTCCTCTGTCACTCTTTCCTGGTTCCTTACCTCCAACCTCTAAATAGCAGTATCAGTCCTTGGAAGTCTTCTCTCTCTACATTTGCACTTTAGGTGTGGCCTCATTCCTGGTCGCTTAATTTAAAAAATCATCTGTATATCTGTATACTGATGATCCTCAAATTTATAACCTCTAGGCCAAACCTTTCCCTTGAACTTTAAACTCCAAATTCAACTGCCTACTTAACACTCCTACTTAGATGTCTATTCAGTATCCCAAACTGAACACGTCTAAAAATGAACTCCGGATCTTCCCCACAAATCTGCAAACCTCTTCAATCCTCCCAATCTCAGTAAATGGTGACTCTCTTCTTCCAGTCACTCAGATCAAAACTTTAGAGACATCCCCAATTCCCCCCTTTCACCCTCCTGGATGGCCCCTCTGCCCCCCAAACACCCATACATCTGGTCTATTGGCTGACCAAACCCCACAGGCTGATCTGGTTGCAATCCTTCAAAAATATTTTTTACTGAATTGAAATCCAAGAATATCCAGAATCCAAACACCTTTCCTCAGTTGTACTCTGTACAACTAGTTGTACTCTGTACGATAGTACAAGATAATACTAGTACCTTGGTCAAGTCACCATCATTTCTTCCATGTACTCTCATAATCTCTGAAACTGGTCTCTCTGTTCTGGCCAACCTACAGTCTATTCTCAACATGACAGAAAAATCCTCAAGAAATTTAAGTCATGCCATCCCTCTGTTTAAACCTTCTAATGGCTTTCTATTTCACTAAGAGAAAAAAAATCAAAGTCCTTTATTATCACTTAAAGGCCCTATACAATTTGGTCCCCTGTTAAGGTTCTGCCCTCATTTCCAACTACTTTCTCCTAGGGTCACTGCTCTGGCCACTGAAACTTCCTGGCTGTTCCTTGAACAAACCAAGCATGTTGTGGTTTGTAGCCTGCTTCACCTATACCTATGGCATTTTCCCATATAATGAAGTATTACTGGAAAACATACTTTTTATTGAATGATTAGTACTGTTCTGTACATCATATCCCTTATCTTTAGAGTTTTAAAGTAATCCAACTCTCACACAGCCTACTTAGTCACAACAAAACGATGCTTCAGAAAGTTCTTGTTATTCTTTGAGAGTATATTCCCTCAGCATCCTGGGAAACATCAGGAGGCTCACAACAGAGTGGCTGGGCTTGGGTTACTGGAAAATAATGCCCCAGGCAGGAAATAAAACAATAAACAACAGGGCAAGAAACAAGGGCTTTGTACATTGATTGAATTCAATATGGCCTTTCTTATTTTGTAACCTGGAATTTTTATTTTTAGATTTTTTTTAATTTAACCTGGAATTTTTATTAACAACATTTATAGGCTGGTGAGATTTTCACTTGTGTAAAATTAAGTGGTGACAAAAACTAGTTGTTCTCTGAGAGAGCCAGTGCTATACAGACATGCCCATTATTTAAAAATGTGACACATATAAAAACACTCAGGCTACTTGGGAGCTTAAGACTTTGCATCTTCTCTTCTTCACACCCCACCAGGGATGTTCCTAGAAAAGAATACTTACTTGATAAATCTCAGGAAAAGTGGGGAGAGCTCCCTGGACCGTGGTTCTACCCTCTCTGGGAATTTTGCCAGAGCTCGCCAGAGCAAAAAACGAAAGTTGGTGTGGTCCAGTCTTTCCTGACAGTCAGTTTTCAATGTTAACTGCTCATGATAAAGAACTCCAACATCTCCTTCCTGAGTCTGCTCCCAACTTTCATCTCCAATGGACTCCTCGTCTCTGACATCATTTTGCAGCTCTTTCTCTGCAACGTGAAAAGTCGTCAGAACCACTCGAGAAATGTTGGCATTTGTCCTATGTGTTTCCTCAAGTGAGAGCGTTTCTTTCTCAATATATGAGGAAACAATGAATTATATCCAAAGGTTATCAAGATAATTCATTTTTCTTTTTTTTTAAGAGAGTAATTTTTTTTTTTTTAAAGATTTTATCTATCTATTTGAGAGAGAGAGAATGAGAGGCGGGAGGGTCAGAAGGAGAAGCAGACTCCCCGCCAAGCAGGGAGCCCAACGCAGGACTCGATCGCGGGACTCCAAGATCATGACCTGAGCCGAAGGCAGTCGATCAACCAACTGAGCCACCCAGGCGCCCAAGATAATTCATTTTTCATTTGTTTCCCCATTCATGTGCAATAAAGCAGTAAAAAATTAAATAAACATCTTTTCTTCCCAGTCTCCCCTTCACTTCCCTTACATACCAGCGTGTACAGCTGCTTTTTCTAGATGTTCATAGTAAACTTTCCAAAATTGCTTATTTTCCATTTCGTGTGCATGAGAACTAAGAGAAAAGATCACAAAACAAAATATGTGGTATAATCCTTTTAAAAGATCTCTCATAGGAAAAAATAAGTGAAAGGATATAACTAAAATTTAATTAGGTTATACCTGAATATAGGGCTTAAACAACATTTGTACTTTTTTATATATTTCAAAATGCCTTCACTGAGCTGGAATTATTACTATTAATTAATTTGAGTATAGTTGACACACAATATGAGTTTCAGGTGTACAACTTAGTGATTTGACAAATTTATTATATTATGCTATGTCACCACAAACTGTAGCTACCATCTGCCCTATTATATCGCTTGTACAATATCACTGACTGTATTCCTTATGCTCTGCCTCCATTACTTATTCATTCCATAACTAGAAGACTGTATCTCCCATTCCTGTTCACCTATTTTGCCCAACCCTCCCATCCCCTCCCCTCTGGGAACCATCAGTTTGTTCTTTGTATTTGTAGGTCTGATTCTGCTTTTTGTTTATTTCCTTTTTTTTAAGATTCCATTTACAAGTGGAATAATATGATATTTATCTTTTCAGTCTGACTTATTTCACTTAGCATAACACACTCTATCTCAAATGGCATGATCTCACCTTTTTCTATGGCTGTGTAATAATCCATCATATACATACACCACATCTTTCTTACCCATTCGTTTACTGATGGACACTTAGGTTGCTTCCATATCTTGGCTATTGTAAATAATGCTGCAGTAAACATATATCTTTTTGAACTAGTGTTTTTGTTTTCTTTGGTAAATTCCCAGCAGTGGAATTACTGAATCATATGGTATTTCTGTTTTTAACTTTTGAAGAGGAATTATTTTTATAATCACAAAATACTAAGGGATATTTTTAAAAACCTAAGCAGATGCCTATAAGAAGACTATTTTTAAAGGCACAATAATGGGAACACGCATCAGGTATGAGGCAATATGGCACAGTAAAGAAAGGAGAGGACTTAAGAGAAAACTGTTGAAAGCTAACGTTAAGTACTGGTTTTTCCTCCACCAAATTAAAATACACTTTTGTTAACAAAAAGGCAAAATAAAAACTACATGAAACATACCTTTCAGAATGTGAAGAGATGAATCATGCGTTTATATAATCGGGTATCTTAGCAACAATCGTCTCAAAATGTTTATATTCTTTCTGTCATTAATTTTCCAAGAGTATGACTTTTTTTTTCTGTTCCTAATATTTTATTGATCACCCCTAGGCCTGTGCGTGACCACATGGACTCCAATGAGGGGGTCAACATTCACCAGCACCCAGATGGGGGCATGCGAAGGCCTTGGCCTAGCTCTTGGGGGTCACAGACTACGGAGTTTGAAGGAGCAGGTCTGGCCTTTCCCAAGCAGCACAGGGCACCTGGTCAGGGGTGCAGGTGAGGACCAAGAGCCTTTTCTTTTTTTTTTACATTTGGAGATTGGATATCATCTATCATCTTTAATTAATAATGCCACAGCCCAACACCCTTTTTATTGCTATAGCTGGTTGTGATTAAGTGTGTGTGTGTGTGTGTGTGTGTGTGTGTAATATGTGTTTGTGTTCCTAAACAGATGACGGGCCAGTAGAGACTCTTAAGCAGATCTCAGCCAACAGCTCTACTGAGCAGCAACCTGAAGACAGTCTCCATAGTGACACAGGCTAGACTCCTGCCTCCCTTTTCCTGGCTACTTTTCATGCACTCTGAGGCCCATGTCAGCCCAGATTAAAGGGCTTCTTAGCAAAGATCAGTCTCCAGTTCCTAGGCATCACTGCCTCTGACCACAGGGATGTCCATGGGCAAAATATAGATTGTTAGGCAAAGGTGGATAACCATTACATAAGACATGAACTATATATGTTGTTGACTATACGTGACAAATAAACCAGTTTTCAGACAGATAAATGTGCCCAACAGGAGACAGCCTACCAGCCATGGAGAACCATTAAAGGCATTCAGTAACTGAGAAACCAACACTTTTAATAGTGGACTATTGGTAACACATATATCAGATTCTTCCTTAAGCGCAATAAACAAAATTATGAAGTTGATGTTAAGAAGGCCTTGATTTTCAGCATAATGGCTGGATGGTTCTGAAGGGCAGTAAAAGGCAGATAAATCGATTCCAAATTGGAAAGAGATTTGTTTATTCTACTTCTGTCAGATAAAAACCAATGGTTAGGGTTCTGGGAAGTCACACATGATATATTTCTAATCTGACAAAAAGCAGAGTAGACCATCTGAAGACAAATATCTGCAAACATATGAGGCACAATATATGTATTTTCTATATGATTATTAAGGTCCTTTTTAGAGCTAAGGGAATTTTGCCTTAGACAACTAGGGTTTTAAAAAGTCCTTATTTTTAAACTAAAGTGTGGCTCACTGACTCAACATATATAAAATATTAATAAAATATATAAAGTATAAAATATTAATTTATATAAAAATATGAATATATTTATAATATATATTTTCTATATACAAATATATAAAATATGTTAGATATATAAAAACCTATAATATATAATACAAATACAAATATATATTAATAAATATATAAATATAAATAAAAATTTAAACTAAAGTGTAGCTCACTGACTCAATATATATAAAATAAAATTTTGCTATTATTATATAACATCTTGTCACTGTAAAAAAAATAGAAAAATCAACAATACAGATGAATCATATAAAGTAAAAAGAGAAAGTCCTCCAAAGTCATTTCACTGCACAAAGAAACATACACAGAACATTCGAACTGTTGAAAAACTTGGCATTAGAATAATTGAGGTTTCCTTTTTCTTTACTTTGTCCCACAAAGGACTGGAGCTACAGATATTATCCACACCCATTCATTTAAGTCACACCTAGAAGGAGTAGAATAATGGCCTGATCACTCTGCAGCAGTAGTTAAAAACATAACGCTTCATCCGTTGAACCTATGCTTACCTTATGAGTTCAATGACAGGATCCCAGAGGGCACTGAAGTTAACATATAACATGCCTAATAAATAACGAAGTGGCACCTGCGATGATAGGAGGCAAGTTTAGTAAATGGGTAATAAAGCTACAATACAACACCCAAAAATACAAATATCCCAACTCAGACAACCGGAGGTTGGAAAGAAGTGTGTGCTTTAAAGAACAAGTTGTAGGTACCAATCCAAAATTCAGTGTATAATAATTTTCCAACTCTCCCCAAAACATCACTCGCTATTTAACAGAGAAGAATCATTAAAGCAAATGTACTCAAACTCACTCTAGCTGTTCACAAAGGGTACAGCATTTGAATCAACAGACCTGACTCATGATTAAAATTCCCACCTACCAAAGACTGCTCTTACTGTTACCATGTAGGACAAAACCTCAGGAGTAAGCAGTAAAGCACACATACTAAGGAACCCAAGACAGTACACTGTGAATGGCAGCTGGGGCTTTGCAAGCAGATGGCTGAGTTTTCAAAACTAGGCATCAGATGTATTCAGTTCAGAGGGTCTGAAGTTTTCTCAGTCACCTTGAGAACAACCGTCGTTATTACTCACATCCCCATGTGCTAGGGAGGCATCATAGAATGGTAGTTCTAATAATATTTGGAGGTGAGGTGTTTGTTACTATTTTCGTAGCAGAGCCCTTTTCCAAAACGAAACAATACAGGACAATAATATATAAAACAGGTTAAGAGTGGAACCACTCTGATCTACAGGGAATGCCTCCACTTGGCTTTCCTGCCGCCAAAGGGATCTGTGATCCATCTTCAAGGGTCATGGATGAAAAATCCCCAATACCAAAGGTAGAGGCCTGACATCCTGAGGTAATGAACAAAACTGAGGAAGAATATCAAGTTTTAAACTTGACGTTGAGTACTCCTGTTGCCACTTCCTACCTACCTTCACGTTTCATGCATCTATTCAGGAGAACAGAGGAGAGTAAATTATTTCCACTTTGAAAAAGCTGGCAGAGCCATTTAATTCAAAGCCATCTAAGAAAGTGGGAGATTTATCTAGTTTAAAAAAAAATTTTTTTTAACTACTTGATATGTTTTTCTTTTCAAAAGCCAGCAAAACAGATCATAAAGCATAAATTAAGTTTAAAAAACATGGACACTATTTTATACCTCCTGTAACGGCCCATCAGGGACTGCAGCCTGTACCACATCATGTCTTAGTTTTCTCAAATGAAGAAGCTTCTCTCTGTAATCGCTCACAGTTGCTGGGACAAGTTCCGCCTGGCGTAATATAGCAAAGGCAGACTGACGCTCTGAGAGCCCATCATCCTGAGTGAATGGAGAAAAAACAAGAGGCAGGTCAGTAATTTAATTTCCCAAAAAGACCATGCAATGTGGCCAAAGATCTAAAAAAGAAAAACTGGGCTATGTTAATGTTTTAAATTAAATAAGCAACACTTTTTTGGATAAATGATTCATTTTACTTCATAGTACTTAGTTTTTGGTAGATAATTTAAAATTAATGTTTAGCACAGAAAATGACTAGTAAAAAAGAGGAAACTAATTCTCAAAATGACTAAAATCAACTGGCCACATTTGTTGAAATAAAAATGTGTATATATACCACTCCACAATTCTACTTTTAGAAGTAGTACTTTGCATTATGGGACTATTTCCCTATTCAAAGATATCAGCATAAGGATGTTCACTACCCTTTTACTGGAAAAGCTGAAAAATGACAAACAACCCACCTAAGAATCTGTCAACAGAGAACTGGTTATGTAAGATAGTTTAAACTGTGGTATACTGTTTAAACTTCAGAAGAAATGAGGTAAATCTCGAGGTGCTGATATGGCAAAACCTCCATGATGCCATTGTTTAAATTATACAATTGGATACAAAAAATCTGAAAGAATATTCACCAATTACCTGTGAATTTTCAGTGTGGGCAGGAGTAAGAATTACAACAAAAATTTCAGTTTTTAAGATAGATATTTATACAACAGTGTTTGAATTTTCTGCAAAAGTGTCATTTTGGAAATTAAAAAATGAATTATGTTTTTAAAAAGTTATCCAAATTAACAGTTAAAATACCTCCATCAATTCTGGAAGTCGAAGCTCAAAATGGTTTAGGATCCTTATTGTCAAAAGCCGAATCTAGAGAAAGTGAAAGGCATGTTTCAAATTCCAAAGTTTACACATAAGAAACTGATTTACAGCCAGTGAGATCTAAGTGTTAGAGAATTAAGGAAAATATACCACTATCAAAGAGATACATGTTATTGTATCCCTTATTTCATATTAGACACCAACCAACACCTTATTCAAATAGTATATGGAACAATTTAATGACAAGACTAGAAGATAAAGTTGCCCATAGAACCATGTTTTTCTTTCAACTATGACACTATAAGCATCTCTGTAAATAAATGCAAAGAATCTGATTTAAGTATACAATTCTCTTGCAATTAGTGATTTTTATTCGTATGTGATATATTTAGATATTTCTGTACACCTGACCAAACAGCAGAATCACCTAGGGGGCTTTAAAAACTATGCAGATTTTTCAGTTTCAGCCCTACTGAGTCAGAACTGTGAGAACCCAGTTCTGTGAGAACCCAGAATTTGTATTTCTATTAAACTTCCCAATTAATCCTGCTGCAATCTTTGTAGGTCAGTGTTTAGGAATCACTACTTTAAACAGAAATCATCCCACAGAAGCATTTTCTGATGAAGGAGCTCTGACAACCACTGGCAGTACATACAGAATCAAAAGATGAGAGACTGAGGACACATCACAAACACCATTACCTTGGATATACCAGTTGAAATGTTTGCTTGTAACTTGGGAAATAATTCCATTAAAGCTTCCTCAGAAAGTGGCCCTTTGCAGCCACATAAGGATAATCTCTGATAATAGAGATCGGCTAACAGCAACACAGATGGCTCCAAAGGAAATGTTCTGCAACAAGATATTTATTAGACCCAACCTGCACCATACAGTCGAGTATGTAGACTATAATAGAAACTACAGAAAATTACAACTGGTGAAGAAACTGTAAAAGGAACCAGGTAAAAGTTTTATGCGGACACTTAGCGTCATTTTAGAGATAAAGAATCTGAGGTCTTGCAACAATGAGTAATTTGCTCGAGGATGACAGACAGCTAGGTACAAGCATTCACCTATATCCTATCTCTGTGGGAGTTGCAGAGGGATGTTTTCTCAGGGAAAGAGCACAGAAGCTGTGGCACCTGCCTTAAGCTAATATGTCTCCATTAATTTATTCATTCTTATCAGGACACATATCTCAAGGAGGATTTGAGATGTCTGAGATGGGCTCAAAGGCCAACAAAGCAGCTTCATTCCCACGGCTTAGAACCCCCAGTTTTGGTTCCATGCAAGAAATATGCCTGTTGGAGGTGGGCTTGGTGCTGCAATCAAGAAAAAAGTTCCACAACAGCTCCTTGCCAGGCACCCCCTACAGCAGTGACACTCAAGGATCCCCAGGTCAAGAACGCAGAGAGCCCCAGATCCCACATCCCTCATGATTTACTCCCTTGATGCTTCTGTGCTTCTGCTCAAATGTCCCTCTCATTCTTGGTAAGGCTTTCCCTATTTGAAACCGTTGTCCCCAACCTCCAGACTCTCCCTATCCCGACTCTGCTTTAATGGTTTTACCGCTGTCTAACATGCTATACATTTTACTTATTTTGCTCAGCATTTCTTCTTGCTAGAATGGTAGCTCCATGAAGGCAGGGTTTTTTGTGTGTTTCATTCACTGACTGTGTTTCCCAGTGCCTAAAAAAGGGCCTGGTATGTGAGAAAAGGAAATGAATATTTACTGAACAAAGGAAATTAATAAAGCTGTTTTAACAAGAAATGGAACTAAAATGGATTAGACTAGGGGCGCCTGGGTGGCTCAGGTGGTTAAGGGTCTGCCTTTGGCTCAGGTCATGATCTCCGGTTCCTGCTCAGCGGGGAGTCTGCTTCTCCCTCTCCTTCTGCCTCTCCCCCTGCTCATGCTCTTTCTGTATCTATCTCAAATGAATAAATAAAATCTTTAAAATAAAATAAAATAAAATAAAATGGATTAGACTCCAGAAAAAGTCATCAACTACTTTACCAGGTTTTCAAAAGGTGTGACCTTTAGAAAGGGGCTGAGCTGAGTAGAAAATGGCTTTCTGGTAACAGTCCAGTGCTACACCAAAGTTGGGAGCTTGTTGACATCAACTTACAAAAACAAAAGCAAAAAACTGGGTTGTGTTGGTATGTAGTAAAACAACCACAGGAAAATGTTCTGAAACGGTGATCATGTCGAGCTGAGACAGAATGAGTGTAGTAGAAATATGTATGTTGGAACGACTCAGGAAGTTCTAGAAGGTCAATAGAGTGCAATGTTAGGGTTGGAGACAACCTACAACACTAGTTTACACACATGGTAAAATACCTCTCCACAAAGATGAAGAATCTGCATTTAAAGACTGTGTAAAAAATGTACTTATGTTAAGGATTCAAATCAATAATACATTTCTAATACGAATACAACTTAGGTATAAAGTAGATCAAAATAAGAACTTTCATTATGCCCAAGATTTCACAAAAGCAGAAGCTTTTATATTTTATTTGTGATTAAGATAAATGGGAGGTATATTTACTTACAATACTAAATTCTTCACACGTTCCACAGGAACCAAATGAAGAAGTTCAGAAGATTCTTCCAAACTTAGCAGAGTATTTACAGCTTGACAAAGAACAAATAAGTTTCCTAAGGGCAGAAAAACAGGAGAAACTACATAACTTATTCCTTTGACACAATAACTACCAGACATCTCATTTATCTAATACTTGCTATTTACATAAGTTCTTAAAGTGAATTTGTGCCTCCTTATCATCTATCAAATGTCAGAATATAACAGGAAGGAACTGAAAAGAGAAGGTTCCCAAGTCTTATATTTCAGCTTTAAGAGAAAAATATATTCAAAAATAGAGAATAAAATGTATGTTTCATTAGTTAAGATGAGAAGGAAATCTGGTGGTCCCACTCACTGGCATTATCCAAATTAGGATTTTTTAAGGAGATGCACTTATACTTTTCAAAAGCTAATCAATTTTTTTTTAAATGAGATATTCATTTAATCTTAGACCAGAGGCTGGCAAACTTTGGTTCACAAGTCAGATTTGTAGGTAGCCTGTTTTTTATACGGCCTGCAAGCTAAGAATGCTTTTTATATTTTAAAAGCGTTGTTTGAAACAACAAGCAAACAATAAAGAATATGCTACAAAGACTGAATATGAAAACCTAAAATATTTATTATCTGGTCCTTTACATAAAAATTTTGCCAACCCCTGCTCTCGATATTAGAAAAGTGCTGTCCAATACAATTTTTCTGCAATGATAGAAATGTTCTGTACTTGTGCCAATATGCAGCTGCAGTCCAATATGGTAGCCACCAGCCACACATGGCTATTGAGCACTTGAACTATGATGAGTCTATTTTATTCTCTAATGTGTCTTCTTAGTATCTAACAGAGAACCTAGCGCAGTAATATCTAAATGAATGAACAACTACTACACATAATGTTAGAAAAGAAATACTGTACTAAAATGAAACAAAATATCTACTTTCAAATTGCTGTTCTCAGGCTAGTGAAAGGAGGTATTCAAGTATACAACATGAAAGGGTGTTTTGAGCAGGGCAGGCTAGTATCTTGCTCAGGGTAAAGCAAATGAAAGTGCCTGGATATAAGGTGTATAGAGTGTGCGTGGGAGAACGGAGAACAAGACACAAGCTGGGGCTTGAAAACAAGGGGTCTCAGATGCCATGGCACCCCCTGACACTTTGTCCTCAGATTCAGCTTGTGCTCAAGCTGCCCTCACCTGGTCACCACGTTATGAGGCACAAGTGCAACATCTCCATCTTACCCTCTTTTTTCTGTATTTACCATAGAGGGCGTTGTGTCAGAGCACAATGTTAGCACTATTCTCTAGGATTCCACATGTTTACAGTCACTTTGGCTGTGTCAGAAAAGACAGAGAAGAAAACAAATGGGGATTGTAACTGACCTTTTGAAAAGCTGCCTCTGTCAACATTCACGAAGAGTGACTCTATGAAGCATGTGACTAGTGGTATCACCTTATCTTTCTCAAGAGGTCTGTCCAAGAAGTCGGGAGACAAAGGGAAAAGTTCAAACCAGCATTCAGTGGCTTTTTCAGGGAATAGCAAGGAAGGGCTAATAAACGTTTCAATCAGCACACTAAGTATCTCTTTCACAATTAACCAGTTTATTTTCTCACCTAATATGAGGTAACACGACAAGGGCTGCCCAAGAATGTGAAAGGTAAGTAGCATCTTTATTTGGGGGTAGCTGAATTATAGATAAGAGGTGGTCCAATACTGGGATCTGTTCTTTTCCTCCCTTGGATCTGGTCTTCTTCTGCCTTAAATAGGATCTGAAGGAAGAGAAGAAAAACAAATGTTTAAAAGAGGAGAGAACATAATCCCTCTTGCCCTCTGAAGTTTAAAATAAAACTGGTTCCTTTCCACGCGTGGTAGATTTGTGGGGAGGAGGGAACTGATGGTGGTGGTTGAATATAAATAACAAAACAAATGCAAGTCGTTTACTGATTTTTGGTAAGAGGCTTTTTCGATGCCTTTGGTTCTCCTTTTTTCTATTTTAATTTGCTTCGTAACTTAAAGCAAGTCTCTTCTAGTTTTATGTATTATTTCTGAATTTTCTGATTCATTCAGATTCCTTCTTTTCTGTCCATTCTGCTGATGGACATGTTTTTAAAAACTGGAGAGGTAATTTATTATAATGAATGGACTTCCTTCCTCTATTCACCCTTTCCTTTTTGACACAAATTTTACTACTTTACAAACACAGAATGATGTTGCACTAGTGGTGAATTTGACAAATGTCACTAAAGTAATTATGATTTAGAACTGTCTCTGCTTCTTTAATCTCATAAATGTTTACTTGATGACATTTTCTGACATGACATTTGGCTTTAGGTATCTGTTACTTTGGCACTTTTCTTGTTTGCCTCTTTTCCCTTTTGCCTCAGTTCTATTTGAAAGACAGAAATCTAATTGAAAGAAAAGTCATAGAAACAGTAAGTAAAACGATTTGTTTTAATAATTTATCCCCCATAGCCAGTTTGGTTAACTTGTTACATAATAGAAGTGGAACATCAGGTTTTTAGTCCTGTGTCCCTATTATCATGAAAAAGTTCTATTCTTTTCTGTTTCATACTTACCAAGATATGAATGTTTGGAAATTTTAACAGATAGTTTAGTTAATTTCACTGACAATTTCTGAAAGTCACTGTACCTTGATATATAGTCTTCCTAGTAGTAAAGACTCAACAATCTGCAAAAATCTTACAAGAAAACATTGAGATGCTTTAAAAAAAAAAAAAAAGGTAGGTCATTGCTTGCCTGCTTCATCACACTTGCCAATGAGCTCCTCCAATAAAATCCACACTCCTTATCTAACCTTACAAGGCTCCATGTGATCTGATCCTGGCCTGCCTCTCATTCCACCTTCTTCCTTGCTCCATGCTCTGTGCGCACACAGGCTTTCTTCTGGTTCCTCAAACATACTGAGCTTATTCCTATCCCAGAGCCTTTACACTAAGTCTTCCCTCCACACGGAAAGCCTTTCAACTAGATCTTTGCAAGGCTGGATCCTTCCCATCATTACAATCAGCCCAAAGGTCCCTTCCGCCAAGAGGAGTCACACTGCCTCTCCATGCATTCTCCCTCTCAACACCCTAGTTTTATTTTTCTTTTTATCATTAAAATTATCTTGTTTATTTGTTATCTGTCTCACATCCCTCCACTCCAAGAATGTCAGCTCCCCAAAAAGAAGGAACCTTGTTCTTATTCATTATTATATACCAATGCCTAGAATAGTGCCTGATACAATTAGCACTTGTCAGCTGATAGAATAAATGTATCTACTAAAGAATCTTTTCACTCTATTATCTCTTTCTAGTCTCACAACAAATCTGTGAGACAGGTGGATGGAGTATTACTAAGAATATTCAGACAAAGGTGACCATTCACATGTATCCTATCTCTGTGCGAGTTGCAAAGGGATGTTTTCTCAGAGAAAGAGCACAGAAGGTGTGGCACCTGCCTTAAGCTAATATGCCTCAATGTATTTATTTATTCTTATTAGGACATATCTCAAGGAGGATTTGAGATGCCTGAGATGGCCTCACACAAGCCAACAAAGCAGCTTCATTCCCACTGCTTAGAACCCACACTTTTGGTTACGTGCAAGGAATATACCTGTTGGGAATTGGTTTGGTGTTGCAATCAAGAGGAAAGTACCAAGGGAATTATTCTACAGGAGTTACTAATTATTCATTCCTCAGGAATCAGAGTTCAGTAAAATGGAAAACCAACAGATTCTATTAGCATGTTTTTGATAGAAAAGCTACTTTTAAGGTCAGCAGAAGAGCAACATGTGAAGAAGACGAGCTCCTCCAGAATCTCAAGCTGATCCAGAATCAAAAACTAACTCTGCTGTGTGACTGTGGGGACAATGATACCCATCTCAAGGGATGCTGTGATGCTTCAAAGTGGAGTACTCAGCAAAAACTCAAGGAATGTCCATCTATTCCTACTGCCCCAAAGCAAACCCCAAATGCAGCAAGTCTAACAAATCCCAGAGAAATAAGAAACAAGTACAAACACATAGGAATGATAAGGGAACTGGTTTCCTAATTGTTAATTTCTAAAAACACATCCACAACTACTGGAAAAATGATAACCAGAATCCTCACATATTTATATAAACCCTGTTTTCAATTCTAAAGGGTATTAATTATTTTTATTTTTTTTAAAGATTTTATTTATTTATTTGACAGAGAGCATAGGCAGAGTGGCCGGCAGAGGGAGAGGGAGAAGCAGGCTCCCCGCTGAGCAAGGAGCCCGAAGCAGGGCTCCATCCTAGGACCCTGAGATCATGACCTGAGCCGGAGGCAGACACTTAACCGACTGAGCCACCCAGGCGCCCCAGGGTATGCATTATTTTTAATGAAATTAAGAAAGTAATCCATGGCTCTCTTAACAATTCAAACAATGCAAAGGTATATAATCTAAGAGTTAACAGTCACTTCTTTCTTCTCCTTCCCAACCTCCTGACAAAAAGTTAAAATTTTGTGTATCCTTAGGGAAATGTCAATTCTTCCCAAATTGATCTACAGGTTAAAGGCAATTCCAAACAAAATCCCACCAAAGTTTTTTTGTAGACATAGACAAGACTCTTCTAAAATTTATATAGAACAGCAAAGGACCAGGAATAGCTGAAACAATCCAAAAAGGAACAACAGAATGGGAGGAATTTTTTTTCAAGATTTCAAGACTTATTTTAGACAGTCTCTATTAGAGGAGAATAGATACATGGATCGATGGAAGAGAATAGAGAACCCAGAAATAGAACCACACATATATGCCCAACTGATCTGACAAAGGTGCAGAAGCAGTTCAATGAGGAAGAATAGCCTTTTCAACAAATGTTGCCAGAACAGTGGGCATCCACAGGCAAAAAAAGAAACTTGACCTAAACCTCACACCTTATATAAAAATTAACTCAAAATGGACCATGGACTTAAATGTAAAACATAAAACCATGACAATTTTAGAGAAGGAGGAGAAAATATCTAGGACCTACAGCTAGGCAAAGAGTTCTTAGACTTGACATCAAAAGCATTATCCATAAAATAAAAGTTGGTCAACTGAACCTCATCAAAATCTAAAACAGTGCTCTGTGAAAAATCTTAAGTGAACAAAGACAAGCTATCAACTAAAAGAATATATTTGCAGACCATTTATCTGACAAAAAAAAAAGCTTTGCATAGAATATATAACGTGTTCTCAAAACTCAACAGTAAAGAAACAAACAATCTAGTTACAAAATGGGCCAAGGAAACAGATATTTCACCAAAGAGGATATATACATAGCAAATAAACCAAGGAAAAGATGGTCAACACCATGAGCCACTAAGGAGATGCAATTTAAAACCACAATGAGATCTCACTACATCCTACTAGATTTGACAAAAAATAAAAATCAGTGATGATACCAAATGCTGGAGAGGATGCAGAGAAACTTGATCATTCAGACTGCTGGTGGGGATATTAAATGGCACAACTACTCTGGAAAACTGCTGGGAGTTTCTCATCAAACGAGAGATGTACTTAGGATATAACTCAACAATTCCACTTTTGGGCATTTATCTCAGAGCAACAAAAAGTTATGTACATGAATGTTCATAACAGCTTTATTTATCATACTAGCCCAAAACTAGAAGTGACCTAAACATCTTTCAACAAGTGAATCATTACATGGACTACACTACATCCATGCCATGGGCTATGACTCCACAAGCACACGAAAAGATGTTCAACAAAGGGATGGACTCTTGACACACACAACTTGGATGGGTCTCAGGGGAACTGCATGACTGAAAGCTGATCTCAAAAGGTGTATTCTCTAATTCCATTTATATAATGATACAACCATAAAAACAGAGAACAGATTAGTGATTGCCAGGGGTTAAGAATGGAAAGCAGAGCATCAGAGTGACTGTGGCTATTAAAAGGAAGCACAAGAGATCTTTGTGGTGATGGAACAGCTCTGTATCTTGACTCTGGTGGTGGTTATGCACCTACACATGTGATAAAACTGCATAGAACCATACAGCCAGATATACACACACCCAGAGGTGAGCGCATGTACAACTGATGAAATCTGAAAAATGTCAATTTTATGGTTGTGATATCGCAGTTAACTTATGCAAGATGTTACCACTAGAGGAAGCTGGGTGAGGAGTACACAGAACCTCTCTGTACTTTCTTTCAACTGCACGTGAATGTACAATTATTTTAAAATAAAAGATTAAAAAAAAAATCAGTCACCTCTTTCTTTCACATACCATCCTCCTGACATTAACCAGGTTAACCTGTTTATGTATCCTTCCATGTCTTCTCCTATGCTTATTTACACTTTTTGTTTTAACGTTGCGAAATGGGATCATACTAAACAACTATTCTACAACTTCTTTTTTTCACAGAATATATCATGGACATCTCCCCAGTTAATATACAGAGATCTTCATTTTTTACAGCATTCTTATGTATTATAAAGTAGATAATCTTACCAACATTATAGGGAATAAAAACTTAGAACTTACCCCACTGTCTGTTGTGAAAAGACCAGGGGGTACTTCTCAATTGCCATCGAGCCAGCAGTGGGAGGTGCTGCTTTGTTCAGAATGAGCTTGGCCAAAATGGCCAGAGCTTCATCTTTGACAGCAGCCTCATCAATCAAGAAGCAATTTTCAATATACAAGAGAAAGCTTGGTAGGAAAAGCTAAAAATAAGAAAGGAAATCACATTTATTAAAAGATATACATTTCATAACACCTAAGGAAGAGAAGATTCTAACACTTCCACAGACGGAAAAATAGATCATAGACACAGGATCAGAAATCATAAAGGCATGAGACCTCTTCTCCACAGAAACAATGAAAGCTAGAAGACCATGGAGCAATGCCTAAAAAACTGAAGGAAAATGACAAATCTATAGTTCTATACTTATCTTGCTAGCAATATGAATAAAGACATTTTCCAAGGTACTAAATCTCAAAATTTTACTTCCATTTGTCCTTTCTCTAGCACCTCTGGAAAAAGTGTACCATCAAAATTAGAGAGTAAATTAAAACAAGGGAAAGGTGTGGGACCCAGGAAATACGAGAAAAGCAAAAGGAAGTCCTATTACGATATCTGTGCCGTGGGCTGAGAAAGCAACTCATTCAGACTTGCACTGCTCTAGGAGGAATGTGTCTACGAGAGGAAAGAAAAAAAAAAAATTGAGCTGCTAAATTTTCTGACATGTGAAAGGCTGTTGGCAGACAGACTCACTGACCAGCTATTCAAGGAAAATCATTTCCAGTTTTTAAAGAATTTGGCAATCTATAACTTCAGGAAAAATGAAAAGGTATATGAAAAAGGAAATGTAAATATAAAATACTCGTTCAGAAAGATCAATTATATGGTGAACAGGAATCCAACCAAAATTTGTGATGTAACTCCACTGAGAAGATGAGAGGTAAAAAAGAACCAGAACCCATCCACCATAGGAGGAAGTCTACAGAAGAGTACTAAAACTAACGAATCAAGGAAAAGTAGTGTATTTGAATGATTAGAAAATATAAAGTAACAGAAAAAAATAGATAAAATCCAAGAGATGTGGTTGTTCTTGGCGAGGAAGGTGTGAGTGGAAATCAAGTGACTAACTTTTAGCCCTGCTTGACTTTTAAAACTACATACAAAGAGTACTCTGATGAAAACAAGATGTTTATAAAAAGACGAAAGGTAACAGGAGAGAAGGAAAAGATGCAGTTGCTAAGAAAACCAGAGCAAGGTAAAGGGCTCTCATTAGACAGGAAGGAAGAGGGCTAGGATATGAATGAAGAAGGTTTTTCTCGAAGCAAATGAGAATATATTAATGACTAAAGGGGAAATCAGAGAACAGACACAGAGACAGGCTTCCACGAAGTATGCTATGGGAGATCAGTTACAAGGAGTGGCAAATGTCGGACAGAGGGAGGGGATAGGGATAAAATAAATGCAGGATTTAATGGGAAAGATTTCTACCTCATTACATCACGTATTGACGTAGTAGCAATGAAGTGTCTTAGTAACCACCCTGCAATCCAAATGTTTCAGAGACTATTTTCTATGCTTCAAACTCACATAAAAGTTCCTTAAAGTCTTTTTTTAATTCTACTACATGGTTCTGTAACTTCCTAAAGGATTATTTAAAAACAAGTTGATTATCTAATGTCATTTCAATGCCCTAGCATATGGAATAAAGTTTTACTTGTGAACTAAAACTGAAATATAATTGCTTTAAAAACTATGGACTAAAACATCAAATACTTATTCTATTCCTCTCAAAGAAAAATCATAGGATTTTAAGTTTGATTATTTTATCATGACAGATTGATAACAAAACAAAACAAATCCAAAACAAAACAAATCCAAAACTTTAATTGCTCACCTGCTCAAACTGCTTCATAACAAACATAACTTCAGAAAAATCCAAAATTAAACGTCTTTCAAATCTGCTCTCAAAAATCTGTGGACCACAGGTAAAAAACATTAAGTGTACAGAGAGTACTTTGTCCATTCCTGAAAATAAAAAACATCTTAAACCTTCAAAGTCCTCTAACTTGTAAGCAGGAAGTAGTGGGACGCTTGATACAAGTTAATAGAAGCAAAAATGACTTGACTGCTGAACTGACCACTGTGCGGAAGGACACATCCAGGTGTGAGACACTGGCACTGAACGTTTCTCCCTGGGAAAGTAGCTGGAGTAAGGGAGTGGCAGGCACACTTCAACCAGTTTTCTGTACAAATGCTTGCCCTTCGGCTGAAAGAACTTACTTAGAAATGTTAGGGGCACTGGGTTTCTGTGCTGATGCGGGGCTCTGCCTAAGAGCTGCCCAGTTATTTCCCAGAGACAGAGAATTATGAAAGGACAAGGAGCACTATTTTATACCTTTTTCCATACTATATACTGCTACACTGCATGAGTCTAGGAAGAACCTAATTGGTCTTTCTATTTTCAATCCCACTTCCCTACAAGCCATCTTCTAAACTTATTAAAATGCAAATCTATCAAATCATTACCCTGCTTAAAATTTCTCCAGGGCTTTTCACTACTTGCAGGATAAAACCCAACCTAACTTTGCAAAGCGAAGCAGAGACTCGCCGATATACACCAAACCTCCTCATGTGTCCTTGTACCCAGTGGCATACGTTTTTGGACTTTTCTTTTTTTTTTCCATTTCTGGACTTTTTGATGCATCTTCTGCTGTTCCCTCTCCAGGAATTTTTAACCCCTTCACTGACTGGCTGATGATATTTAACCTTCAAGGACTATCCCAAATATAAGTCCTTTGGAAAGCATTCTCTGTCCCTCAACCCTCATTATGTTTCAATATGACATCAATAGATTAATTCAACAGATTATAATAACTCACTCCTAGGGCCCCACTTCCCTAACAATCAAAAACCACAGGTACGAGAATGTCCACCCTGGAATACCTAGTCCATACCCAGTACATGGTAAGCTACACTTGTTTGTTGAATATTTTTCATTTACTTCATCACACTGTTTTGCCTCTTTCTATTATAGCATGAAATTCACATCTCCTTGACAAGATTATAAATTCCCTGAAGGCTGAGCCTTTGCCACACTTCATATGTATTCCCCAGGAGGCTTACTCAATGCTAAATACCTTATTAACTACTCAATTAATATCTGTTTAAGTAAATTACTTTTTGTATGGTTTCTTTGATAAGAGTCTCTGGCAAGGGAACATTTTCACCCAGGATCAAAGCAGAAATTACAGCCAAGAGGGTCTCCCGGCAAGCTGTAGAAAGATTGGCTATTTGTAATGTTTGAGATAATACCTGTAAAATAAAAGAAAAAACAATGCACACTTAGCAATAGCTTTTAATGAACAGACTCTAAGCAAATGAAGTTGGGAACTCACCTTACAAACATCGATAGGTTTGATTATCTTTGATCCGTTCCCATGTTTCACAAGTATCAGATATGTTTCTAACAACCTTCTTATCTGTTCAGAACTTTCCCCACAGTTAGTTGTGGTTACTTTTGTATGTAGATCTAAGAGTGATTCCTGCCAATGGGGAATTTAACAGAAAGAATAACTATAAAATATCAAACTTATCTGTTAATCCAGTAATGAAAAGTACTGGGTGAAGCAATTCAAATTTTCTTACTTTTATTTTGAAAAAAAGACACATTTACCAGGAATCACTAAGGATAATAATAGCTAATATTTTTGAGTGCATGTTTAAACAGTGCTTTATAAGTATTTACTCACAATCCTCATAGCAACCATGAGGTAGAGAATATTACTGTCTCATGGTCCCACCAGATAAAAAAACCGGGGAACAGAGATTTAAGTAATTTTCCCAAATCAGTGACAAAGCCAAGATTTGAACAGAGGCAGTCTGGCTCCAAAGGCTGTGCTCTTAACCACAATGGTCTACTACATCTCAAAATACCAAAGAAGTACAGGGGATAGAGAGGGGGGAAAAAAGGCGGGGGAAATCCTAATTATGCGTGTAAAAGTATAAAGACACAATTATAAAATACAATTTCCAGCGGTGGTCTGCTAAACTAAGAGCAAGAACAATCAACTCTTGGGCTCCTTATTACACACAAATCCATAAAAATTAGAACTCACTTGCAAACATTCAAAAAATGTACCAAAATGTTCCTTGTAGATGTAGGATGCAGTAGATTTGACCATGTTTTTGAGTGTTTCTCCAACTAAAATCCATGGTAGTTGAGTTTCTGTTTCAGTAACTGGTCCTAGTTTTTGTAAAATTAGCTTCACTGCCTGTGGGAATCCAATAATCACTAAAATGGACATATGTACTCTTATTTTTTGGTATTACACTGTTATTTCCCACTCTGATTATTCCCCACTCTGATTAAGCTACATTTAAATCTGATCTAGAATAATCAAAGATATGGCAGCTTTGATGGTTAACTACACATCTCAAAAGGAATTTCCAAACTAGGATGGAGAATTTTACCATCCAACTGCTCACTCCTCACTCATTAATCAATTTATGTTACCTTCTAGGATCCAGGATAAAGAAAATAGCAATGATTTTATAAGTAAACATACCTAATCACCTAGAACCTAGGTAGGCATTGTTATCAAAGCCCTAATGCTCCCCCCTTAGTGTTTGTTTATTCCAGACTATCCTCTCTCCATACCATTTACATAAATCTTAATTTATTTTTCTTTTAATCTCTTTCACACAGACTCAAAATATCTTCCCAGTCATTTACCTTCCCTGTACAGGAATGAAACATGTTTCTAACTCCTTTGCACATTTCAAAGAGCAACTGTCCAACTCCTTCTACCTTTTCCGGATGTTCATCAAGATCAAGAAACATTATATTGAAAAGTGCATTTTTATCAGAAACCTAAAACACAAAATGCAAGTGGAAAATTGTATTTACAACACAACAAATCCAAGTGAAGACATATTATTTACTGTTCCACAGGTTCATAGTTAAATCAGGATAAAATTCTAAAAATAAGAGACACTTAGAGTGATTTCAAACTACTATAATAGTATACCACTTCTAATTTCACACACAACACTGATTCAGTGAAATAATATCAAGGTCTGTGCCAAGAAAAACTACATAAGGCAACATTCTATCTTTTAAAGTAAATCATATACTTATGAGTAGAAAAGAAATTAATACCAGTGTTTCTGTTTCATTACAAGAACCCTCTAAAATTTACTATGGAAATACAAGCGATATTATGATATCAGTTTCTTCTGTGAAATTATCATAAAAGTTTCTATTACTCTCACCATTCATATATTTACTGACTTGAATTAGAGGGTCCTTCTGATATACATACATTGAAAGCTACCGAAAACCTAAGTAACAATAAAAGGGTGACTCAAATTATTTCACATTAGTGAGCAAAGACAACCTAATGATGAGATAAACTCAAAATAGTAAAAGGTTTCTTCATATATATATATATATATATACACACACACATTATAAAAGATGTTTCTGTTCATCAGATTCTTGAGGATTAATGAACAATAAACATATAAGATATCAGACTAACCTTTCTCATCAAAAAAGTAAAACTTTCAGCAGCAAAATTTCTTATATGTAGTTTTTTATGAGCCAGGAGTGTACTATACATGCTATAAATGAGAAAACAAGACATGTTTAATCACATTTTAATAAATATATACTCCATGTCAACTATATGCCCCACACTGTACTAGGTATGCAAGGAATACGTTGCAAGTATAAAGTAAGTGGTTTAAATCTTGCTCAATTACCAAGACAGAAGATGAAGGTAACAGAAAAGAAAAATCCTAGGGTTGGTGGTACAGGTGTTACAGAAAAGACTCCATGAATAGCTGAAACTTGTAGGGATTCCTGAATGATGAGAAGAATTCAGGTGGGTACTGGAGTGCATTTGACTAGAGATATAAGCAAGAGCAAACACAGGGTGGGCAGAAACGATCACAGTCAAAGGACAAGGAAGCTAGTCCATTTGAGAGAAAAAGGGTGTTGGGGTTGGGGATGGCTGCTGCAGATAAAGCTGCCCAGGTAAACAGGTAGCTCTGAACACCAAACAGAGGTGCCTAGACTTTAGCTTACATCTGTGTAAGCACTCACTGTGTTACTTCCTCTAACCAACACAACCCCATGGAGTATAGTTACTGTTATCCCGGTTCCACAGATAATAAGCCTGAGACAGAAAGGCTAAGCAACCTTCTCAAGGTCATAGACACGTAGCTATAACTAAATAATTACTTGTAAAATCATATTGTTTAAACAGGTGACATGGTTTAAACATGGTCTCCTATTTTTACCATATCCTCAGTATCTAGCACTTCCTTGCCCACAGTAGGTACTAATAAATATTGGCTGAATGAGAAATGAGTATTTCCAAGAGAGTAATTTAGTAACAGTATACAGGATGAAATAAAAGAAGAGCTGGCAGTCCAACTAGAAAGCTGCTCAAGTCATGGGAGCGTGGGCAAACAAGGGCATGAAAGAAGCTTATGGTAGAGGGAAATGCTGAAAGATGGACCAAGAGGCATTTCAAGAGTCCCTGCAGTGGAAGCAAAGACCTTACAGCGGCCACAAGGCCCTTATGTGATCTGGACCCTACTAGTACAACGTAGCACCATCTGATTACTCTCTGCTTATACACACTGCCCCACGACCATGACTCCTTGCTGTTCCTCGCGCACACCAGGCATGCACCTAAGATGTTCTCCTGCTAGACTGTAAACTTTGCACAGAGAGGGATTTTTATCTGTTTTATTTGCAATTGTATCTCAAGTGTCGTACACGTAGGCAGGGCTCAATAAACACTCACTGAATTGAGTGAGTATATGAATAAAAGAATCAAGAGGATGTGGAGTCCCTGAAGACAAGTGGGTCAAAAATGCCTCTAAGACACCGAGCCTCAGCTGATGAGAAGAAAAATGGAATCACTGTTGGAAAATGTGCAACCAAACAGGGCCTAGCAGAGAGTACATATTTACTGAACACATGAATGGATGAAGAGTTATTTTCAGTGGGAATGTATTGACTCTGATTTCAGTAATACTTAAGTGGAAATAGCCAGGCTGTTGAAGATGTCACACTGAGAGAAAGTATCTTTAGAACTGGAAAGCCCGACTTAGGAGATATAAAGGTAACAACAGAAGTCATGATCCCAAATAAGCTATACAGTGGTCCCCCCCTTATCTGCGGTTTCACGCTCCATGGTCTCAGTTACCCATGGTCACCTGCAGTCCGGAATCAGATGCTCCTCCTACTGACTACGGTCAGAAGGTCGACAGGAGCCCAGCATTACACGACAACACGTACGTCGTCATTCCCCTCACCTCATCTCATCATGTACGCATTTTATCATCTCGCATCATCACAAGAAAAAGCATGAGTACAGTACAATAAGGTATTTTTGAAGAGAGATCACATTCACACAACTTTTATAACTAAAGGTTGTTCTAATACTAGTTATTGCTGTTAATCTCTTACTGTGCATTTATGAATGATACTTTATCACAGGTATGTATGCATAGGAAAAAATATAGCACATATAGAGTTCAGTACTATCTATGCTTTCAGGTATCTACTGGGGGTCTTGGAACGTAAACCCCACACATAAGGGGGGACTACTGTACATTGCCCTAAGATCTTGCTGGTTTTGAATGAAGTAATCTTGGTTTCTACTACATTTTACCAAAAGCTTCACAGAGAACTAGTAAAGACTGGAAAAATATTTCTTTCTCATTCTTTGTTCAAAGTAGGGTAGAAGGAAGGGTGGTTCAATGAAGGGTAGGGTGAAGAGGCGTGGTACAAAAACAAAATCGACAGTTCTATCCCACACTCACACCTATATTTGGGAGGAGGGCGTTAATCTTCATATTCCTGTGACAATTAAAGTATGTAGAAATAATCAGTAAACCAAGGGGAAAATTTGATCAAGTCCCTGACTGAAATTGATTATAAACAATCCTTCTCTTAAACAGAAAGGAACTATGGAATTCATCCTTTTTCCCTGTCCACATTTGCTCACAATGTTCCCTGAGTATCTCTTTGGGCTTAATTAATATGTTAGGGGCTGGGTAAATGCATATTTAAGACTGGATCCTTGAAGTGTCCACAGGTTTGTAAAACACATCATTACACTGTGAACAAACAATTGTAACAGAAGTTGTGTGATGTAAGTGTATAAAATGCCAGAGGGGTTCAGAGTAAAAAGATTTTTAGCTAAGGTGCCCAGAAATATCTGTGGAGGTTATGAAAACCAAGCTTGGTTTTGATGGCCAGAGGCAGGATTTTAGTAGCTGGAGATAAGAGAAGATCAGGTCAATACAGACTAATAGAACAGACTATGGACCACTTTGGCTGGAGAACCAATTTCGTATAATTAGAGACTGAGCTGGAAACGCAGTGTGGAGTCAGACAGAACCCAAGGAAAAAACAATCAAAAAAACATGTCAAGTTAGGCAGCCATGTCAGCAGGTATACATGATGGGTATTGTGCATATTTTAACTAAATATGGGGTGGGAGTGAGAAATTCTGGTTGTCAGTATTGATAAAGACTGCACTTGACCAAAAAACAAAAACTTGAAACTCGAACGCTAAAAAATTTCATTACTGAGGAGGACTGTCCTATTTAGGAGCCTCAAGCACAAGCACACAGTTGTTTTCACAGAGGCAATCTTGAATATTTAACACGTGTATATTGCTTTTGCTCTCGAAACTGATGCAAGTGGGGAGAAGGACTGACTGTAGACAGACTTGAGAAATCTTTTCGGGATGATGGAAATGTTCTTAAACTAATTATAGTGATAATTTGCACAACTTTATAAATTTACTAAACAGCACTGAATTGTAAATAAGATAAAATCATATTTAAAAACGACAAAACCCCTAAACCAAACCTGTATTAGAGAGAGAAAAGGGTCACCTGTATATATTGGACATGTCCTTCACCATTAGTCTCCACAGGTACTTGTAAAGATAGGACAGTGAGGTGAAAGCCCATTCTAGTAACTCTGTGTCCTGAGTCTCCAGGATTGAGGTGATAGTCAGGAAAAATTCCTGAAAATGTGGGTAGAAGTCCGTCTGCAGATCTCGTGCCAACTGTACAACCAAACTGGATTAAAAATAAGTAGAAGTAACTGATTGAGACATACATATCAAAAAACAAAGACTGCAAATCTATTTCACAAATGACAGCAGATTGCCTGTGATCACAGGATTAATTAAACCTTTCAAATTAAGTCTTAAGAGATATGTAACATTTTTCACATTTTAAGGGTTTAGCAAAGAAATCAGGCTGAAGCAAGAAGGTGCATTTCATCACAAGTTATGCTCAGTCATTCCTGTAGTGTGAAAGAAAAATAGGGTTTTCTTAAATGTATAAAACAAAAGCAAAAAAAGGATACCTCAAAGATTCTGCTTTTTGGCAAAGCACTAATGTTCTGATCTAGCAGAAAAGGTAAATTCTTATTTTTAAATTCAAACACCAGATATAAGGCAAATGTAGCTATAAAACACAACCTTTATTAGTTTCTTTTTTTAAAGATAATTTATTTATTTAAGAAAGAGAGAGAGAGCATGGGAGAGAGCGAGCACAAGTGGGGGAGGGACGGGGGAGAGGGAAAAGCAGACACCCCACCGAGCAGGGAGCCCAACACAGCATTCAATCCCAGGACCCCGGGATCATGACCTGCACCAAAGGCAGTTGCTTAACTGACTGAGCCATCCCAGTGCCCTTTAAAACACCTTTCTCTTTTTTTTTTAAAGATTATTTATTTATTTGAGAGAGAGAAAGGGAGCGAGCACAAGTGGGGGCAGGAGCAGAGGGAGAAGCAGACTCCTGGCTGAGCAGGGAGCCTGATGTGGGCTCGATCCCAGGATCCTGAGCTGAAGGCAGAAGCTTAACCAACTGAGCCACCCGGGTGCCCCAAAACATAACCTTTCTTAAAATTCAGGGAAGTGTTATTGAGCTTTCTCTCAACATACTACTTACTCCAAAAGGGGCTGATAGGCAAAACTGTTCTTGATTTGCAGGTGAGTCTTCAGACTCTGAACTATCTCATTTTGATGATAGACCAACTGATTGAAGGATTGGCATTTGTCAATAACTTCTTTGTAAAATTTGCCTGGGTAAAAAAAAAAAGAAGAGGCGAGAATAGGTTCTGCTTTTCTACCATACCACTATTTAGTTGTTTTGAACACATAAAATGCAAATGATGGGAGAATAAAATAGGAACAAAATGGAATATACCAAAGTGTTCTGTAAGGTTCAATTCTCTCCATTTCAGCAGACCCTCAAAAAAGTAGGTTTCGACTTCCTGCCAAGATTAAAGCAGTCCATTAATTAGGCAACTCAAAAACTATGATCAAAGTAAATAAGAATAATGATATACCTTGAGACAATGATAAGAGTCAAGAGTTTAAAAACATTTCTTTTAAAGGGCATTAACTAACACACTTAAAAAGCAATCAGCTGTACAATATAGGCACATGATTTACAAAAACAATATTTTATTGATTTGGTTGCAGCAAATAATTCACTAAAACCTATGTAATAGTCACACTAAGGAGAAAATTTTTTTTCTATTTTCTACAATTTTAGGCCCAGGAAAAAAATGTGCTGACTTTTAACAGTTGTCATTCTGCTTTTAGAAATATGAATTATAACCTTGTGGGGAAGTACTCTGGCAATTATTAAGATGAAAAAAAAAAAAGCCAGGTATGTCCTCTGACCCACCAATTCCCATTTTAGAGATATTCCTTATAAAACTTACAAACATACCAGTATAAAGATGTTTATTCAGCTCTACTGTAGTGGGGGAAAAACATCAAACACCCTAAATATCCAACAATAGGAAAGTGTTTAATGTAACCTATGGCCCATACATACTAAGGTATATTACACGGCTATTAAAAATAGTTATATCTCTATTGAATTAGAAGGATGTTGATGATAAACCCCCACAGTAATAAAAGCAAGAAACGTAGTGAAGTACACAGGAGGAACCAATTTTTTATAAATACATACATTTGCACATATTATATGAGAGAAAAGTACAGAATACATACATACCAAATTGTCAATATTAGCTTCTCTGACAATAGGGAATGGGAGGGGTGAGATAACAGGTTTTTCTAAGTTCACCAATATGTTGTCATGTTATTTCGCTTATTATCACAGTATATATTACTTTGTGCTTTGGAAAAGTAAAACCAATAAACTATTTGTGTGTGTGTATGGAGAAAGAATATAAACTAGTACACACACAAGCAGCATGCCAAATCTTCTACAATCTCAAAATATGTCACTTTCCCTTTGCACTGTGATTCACAGTCCCTACCACAAAGGGATGGAGTCTACTTCCTCACTCCTTGAATCTGGCCTCGCTTTCTGACTTCCTTTGACCATAATGTGTAATGGAAATGATCTTGCAACGGGCAAAGTTAGGCTTTAAGAGGCTTTGTAGCTTCTGCTTTCCCTCTCTCGAAAAGAACCTGCCATCATGAAAAGAAGCCTACTGGAGAATAAGAGACCACGAGTACGACCAAGACTAACATGCCCCTAGTCAAATGTGATTGAGACCGTTGTGGACCATCCAGCCCAAGATCCTATCCTAGGCTCTCTTCTCTACTAACTCGACATTCTATCTCTTATCCATCTATCTCTCCTGTGGCCCATAAACCATATACTGAATGCTAAATCTGTAATTCCACCTCCAAAGTTACCTGTACTTCTCCAGATCCACCGTTTGGATGGCCGTAGGTATATCATTAACAAGCCCCAAATGGAACCAACCCTGTGCTTCTCTTCCTACAAATCTATCTTGGTAAGTTATGTTCTCAACCACCCAGTTGTTAGAACCAAAAACCTTAACCCCCTTCCTCCTTTCATAACCAGCGGGTCACAAGACCTATCCATTCTACTTTTTTAATATCTCTGGAATCCTTTCCTTCTCTCCCTCTTGACTGCTACTTAGATGACTACCATATCCTCACACCTGGTTGTCCTGACTCCAATCCTGCTCTTCCTTCCACATTAAAGCCAGAAAGATCTAAAACTTAGACCTGATCATGTCACTCAGTGCCCTACAATCCTTACAATCCTAGAATGACATCCCATAGCTTCAGGATAAAATGCAAACTTAGCTTGACATATGAAGTCCTCTATGCTCCTTGACTATTTCTTCAGTTTTATCTCTCACCAGCTATGTCCCTCCACTACCCCAGTTATCATCAACACACATAAACATGACATATACAATTATAAACACATTGAAATGTTTTGCAGTTTCTTGAATGTGACATGCATTTTCTAGCCTCTGTTTATATAGGCTTCTCTCTCAGCCTGAACCAGCATTTCCTGTCTTCTTTGCCATGCTAAAACCTATACAAATAACAAGACTCAATTCAGCTTTCATCTTGTCTACATTACCTTTTCAACACCCCACCATATACCCACAAGGAATTTAGGTTAGGCTCCTTCAGTATGAGTTGCCAAAGCCTTAAGCGCTTATCCAGATCACCTCAGTCAACACGCTACATTAACAAACTGGAGATAAGGCAGCCAAAGAGACAGTGAGCAGAGTCTGACTAGAGCAAAGTGAAGAACTGTAAGAACTGAAGTTGAATCCCTAAGTTAAAGGCATGATATATAGGACCTTAAAAGGCTAACAGAGAAACAATGACTTCATGTAGCAAAACAAGATTTTTAAGTAGAGATGTGACTGAATAAGAGCATGTTTACAACTGGAAAAAATTATGGGGTTTAGCCCCCTTTTTTTTTTATAAAGGAGGAAACTAAGCCCCAGGAAAGTGATGTGCTCAAAGTCTCTTTAAAATTGCAGCTTTAGGCGTATGAATCTGCAGCAGAGCTCTTAGAATGCACATGGGAAAGGGAGAGGCTAGAATCACAGAGGACAGCTAAGTGTCTTGTTAACTGTCTAACACAGCATCACCCAACAGAACTTTCTACAATGATGGAAATGTTCCGTATCTGCACTTGTCCAATATTGTAGCAACTAGCCACATGTGGCTATTGAGCCCTTGAATTTTTATTTTGCTTTAATTTACATTTAATTTGCTGTGTGTAGCTACTGTATAAGATCACACAGGTCTAATGCATTTCATGTTCATAAAGGAATGGCCTAAAAAACAATTCACTTCTACTAAGAGGAGAGACTAAAAAATCAACTATGAATACTTGAAGATTGGATAATATAATGTTCTCTTACCTCATCATAGCTTGCAGTTCTATCAATCCGGTGAATAATATCAATATTCACATTCCCCAGTCGTTCAGCAAATGTAAGGAACTGTTGGGGGATATTTAATATACAATCATCATTTAATACTTATCACATCTTGAATCCCTGTTTTGAATGCTGTATAATAATCACATGTTGACAATTTCCTTGTGAAAACAGAAAGTTTAAAGTTTCAATAAGCTTCCTCCCGTACTATCATTAAAAATAACGGTATGCTTTGCTTGCAATTTCAGACTTGTATTTTCAATCAATCATAAAATATATAATTGTGTTTTATAACTAGAAGTAGACATCACTGATGAATTACAAAAGTGTAAAAACAAACTCAAAGACAGTTTTAGATGCGCTGCACTACTTTATGAAAATAATTAAATACTTCCATGAATGTATTTGCAGAAGTTCAGTTGTGTCATTTCAAATAAAATTTCCATGCTAGATTGTGGTGGACCAGGTGAAAGTTGGCGATGTGGCTTCGCCAGATGTGTTAGATTTCATGACCCGCTACAAGCAGAGGGATCTGGTTAAGTCGCTGCAACAATAGTGTTTTAAAAACACAGACAAACGGTTGTACCGTAACAAAGGAATTCTCAGGGAACAAACAAAAAGTGATGTCACGGCCATTAGCTGGAAATCACTCACCTCCTCCCGCCGGCTCGCCCAATTTGATCTTTATGGATAAAAGAGCAGTAGAGAAACATCTCCTAAGCAGCTAGTCTATGATCATGAATCTCACTCTGGGCTAAGGGAATTCCCAGGCAAGTCAGGCCCCACAAACCACAGGCGAGGTCGGCTATCCAGACGTCTTTCCCCACCTCATGTTTACTACACCCGGAAAGTCTCCCTTTGCCATATAAGGGACTCACGCTCAGCCCAGAACACTACAGCCCCGGGAGTCCCGCTCAGACCCAGTAGCAAGGCTGAGGCAGCAGGGACCCACACCACTGTTCTGGGCCCAAGTTCCTTTGCTCACCCGGTACGTGTTTTCGGTCTTGTGGGAAACGGGCTTTGTCTTCATGGCTGCAGAGAGGCAGGGGGCCGCGAGGACCTAGTTGGGGGGTGGAAGGGATGCAACAGACGGTACAGAGGTAAACTGGCTCACACACTTGCATGCACTCTCCGATTGCCCGGGGCTCGGACTTCATCACGTGCGGCTTGTGCCCCTGGGTGCCGCCATATTGAAGACGGGGAGGGGACTGGAAGGATCACGTGGACGGAAGAAGTGACAGAGCAGGCGCAGCCTCCTGGAAACCCGGTGGGGCCTCGGAGAGCTGCTGCAGGTGCGGACGTGGAGTTCTTTTTCTCGTTTCAGGAAAGATTTCTAGGAAAAATCTGTATTTTTATTATAAAAGAAAACATGCCAGTCAGCATTGTCAGCTAACAGTCATTATCCTTCAGCTATGCACCCTGCAAAGCTCTTTACATTAATAATTTCATAGTAAAACTCATTGTGAACGCTACGTTAACATAAATGAGGAGCATATTTTTAAACCCCTTTGGCATACGAAGAAAGCAGGGATGTGCAGCCGGTAAGTGGCAGTCTAGCAGAAGTCTCCGAGCGTGAAAGTCTGATACACTTAACCACTACCTGTCCAAATAAAATTGAAAAATAGAAAAGGAGATTTAGGGGAAAAAAATCTTACAATTTCATGTGCAGTCAGTTAATATTTCGGTGTTTTTCCTACCACTCTTACGTTGTGAAACATAACTGTACCAACGGTTGTATGTATATTTTTTTCACTTATTCACTCAACAAGTATTTCTTGAGAATCTACAATGGGCCATGCCCTGTTCTGTGAGCTGAACGAGACACACAATAATAATATTAATATAATTCTGTTTGGAAATATTTAAGTGTGATGCTTACGGCTTACACAAGGAGAGATGTTAAGTAGACAACTGAATACATTCCTGCCCAGAGCTCAGTGTAGAGGTCAGGGCTGGAGGTGTGACTTACATGCCTTAAATACTCTTCACTGCTGAACCATGTTGGGTATTTAAAGCCATGGAACTGGTTGAGATCATTTAGGGAGAGAGTGATGAAAAGGAGGATGAAGAAGAGAAGACCCAGTTGGACCTTGGAGTGCTCCAACATTTAGCAGTGGACTGGAAGGAGAATGGGATAGAGAGCCAGTGAGGTAGATACAGGCTAGTCTTGGCATGGAAGAAGAACCAGTGGTCAACTATGCTGAAAGCTGAGGCTAGGAAAGGAGCTGCTGGATCTGACAAAGTGAAGGTCACTGGTGACCTTGATAAGTACAGTCCAGTGTTGAAGAAAGGAGGCAAAATATGCATGGACTCTGGAGGAAATTGGGTGAAGAGGTGAAGTAGGTATAACACTTTCATATTATTATTGGCATTATGACATCAGTATTTTCTATGTCATCATGGGATTGTAAGTATTTTTAATGGCTCCATAGCATTCATGGATTTTTTAATAATAAAATATAGAAGTGCCCAATATTTGGTTGGTTTCCAGTAAGCTGTTTTTTTTTTTTTCTTTAGGTGGTTCTTCACCTTAATGCATCACAGATCTCTTAAGGAAGTCAGTGAAAGCTGTAGACCTTCTCCTCAGAAAAGAGCAAATAAAGTCATTCACACTAAACTGCGTAGATGATTTCAGAAAATTAGAAGTCTACAGTCATCCTAAGGTAAGAGCCTCCACTCTAAGCAATATTCCCAAACTGTTGCTAAAATCACCCCCCAGATAATTGTGTCCTTTCCTTTCTCTGTGCCAAGACCTTGAATACCTCATGCCATCTTCTGTTTTTCCCCACTGTTGTTCTGCCTGATCCATTTATTCCAGTCAGGAAACTTACAGTTCCTTCCTTCCTTCCTTCCTTCCTAAGCTTGATCATGAATTCTTGGAAATTGTACCTTTTAATCTTCGTTTCCTTATTGCCTAGCACACAGCAGTTTCAAGTCCATGGGACTATATGATTACATGAGTTTATGGAAGTGGAGTCCAGAGAAGGCTTCTGGGTACAGGTGACATCTAAGCTGAGACTCAGGAAATGAATAGAAGTTAGCCAGGCAAAGGAGGAACACAGACATGAATGATGTTATCTAGGTAAAGGGAAAAGTATAAAATGAAGGGAACAGTGTATGAAAAGGTTCAAAATGGTTGAGTATAAATTTGGTATTTTTAATTCCTCATTCTAAGCCACACCCTGTCAGAGTAGCACTGGGCATTGGCATCATCCCTATCATCCTTGGGCTAATGGAAAACATAAGGGACAGGGTGAAACTGAGAGGTGGGGAGAGCCTCAGTTTCCTGATCTATAAAGTGGGGACAGCAGTCATACAAGGCTGCTGAAAGATTACCTAAGGTATTATATATGATGGTCTGGGAGGGGGCGGGTCTGTCTGGTGTCATGGTCTTGTCTAGAAAGGGGCTCAAGGGGTGCAATATGTCAAATCAGAGATGATCTTGACCCGACAAGGGACTAAGGAGGTGAGGTCTCAAATGAACAGAGGCGAGTGAAGTGAAAGAGAAGAAAGAGTGGACCAAGGAGGATCTCTTAGTGACCTGTAAGTAGCAGGGCAAGCTGATCCAGAAGTCATTCTGTTCTTGAGAGAACTATGTACTGTTCGCAGTTGTGTGGAAATCAGGAGGCATCAAGAGCATGGAGGTTAGATCCAGAACAGTTGGGATTTTCCATGTTTAGTTGATAACTGACTAGTGACTTAACCACTCAGCCTCAATTTCCTTATCTTTAAAAAAAGCATAGTAGTCCAATCTGCCTTTTTACTTTCTGGTCGGTAAGGAGATCCTTTGTTGTAAAGCAGGTCAAAGTCTCCTATAACCTAACAGCCATTTAAACATTAGTTATTATTATTTTAATAGTTATCTTTCTCAGTTATGTGACCACATTTTAGCACGGGAGCACTGAGCTTCTATTCTTCTTTCCCTTGTTTAAAACGTAGGCATCAGAGACATCAGACCAGAAATTACAGATTGATGGGTTTGACAAGCCCAGTGTAGCCTAGTAGTATGTTTTGTTTACAATATTCTTTTTTTTTTAAATATTTTATTTATTTATTTCAGAGAAAAAGAAAGCACAAGCAGGGGGTGAGGGGGCAGTTGGGCAGAGGGAAGGGGAGAAGCAGACTCTGCAGAGCAGGGAGCTTGATGTGGGGCTCAATCCCAGGACCCTAGGATCATGACCTGAGCCGAAGGCAGACGCTTAACCGACGGAGCCACCCAGGCGCCCCTGTTTACAATATTCTTAAAATATTTTAATTTGTCAAAAACCTAGGGATTTCAGGTGAAATCCAGATTTCCAGCTTCTCTTTAAAAAAAAAATCCGCAGAACTCACCCACATTTGGAAAAGCAACAGTCGAGGCCCCTGGGTGGCTGTCAGTTAAGTGTGTCTAACTCTTGATTTCACCTCAGGTCATGATCTCTGGGTCCTGAGATGGAGCCCCGCATTGGGCTCCCTGCTGAGCATGGAACCTACTTAAGATTCCCTCTCTTCCTCTGCTCCAACCTCCACCCTCCCCCTGCCACACCCAACCTCCCCCCCCCCCCCCCCCACACTTGTGCTCTCTCTCTCTCTCTCTCTAAAAAAAAAAAAGGAAAAGCAACAGTCAGCTGGAATTGAATAGTGGCAGCCCCCTTTCCCCTGTCCCTACCATTCCCTGCTGTCCTTCCCTGGCCCATACACTGGTTTAAGGTGTCCACCTGGCCCTGTAGGCATTTCAGTTTGCAGCCTCTGCATTAGACTCTTCCAAGTGGAAGGCTATTATCTTCGGTTTTAAACATACCTCTGGCAAATAGGTTGCTTCTGCTGCTTTTCTTGTTGAATACAGTGAGTGGCTCAGCTATTTATAGGGGCGTTGGTGTGGTTCTCAGTTGGTGTGAAAATATCTGTAATACCCTCCCCCATCCTCTGAAACACACACACAAACACGTGCACATACACATGCATGTGCATATATAGGCACGCGTACACTCACGTGTACACACCATTGCCTTCTATGTTCAGCTTGTTTCTTCCTCATTTCCACTCACCATTTGCATTTCTGTCATGAACATTAAATTCCTTATTTTCTTTTAAAAGCTGTAAGAGGAGGCTCAGTTGGTTAAGCATCTGCCTTTGGCTCGGGTCGTGATCCTGGGGTCCTGGGATCAGGTCCCATGTTGGGTTCCCTGCTCAGCGGGGAGTGTGCTTCTCCCTCTCCCTTCGCCCCTCCCGGTGACTTGTTCTCTCTCTCTCTCAAACAAATAAATAAAAATCTTTTAAAAAAGATATGAGAGGTTAACCTAAATTAACCTGCGTTTTGAACAACTTAAGCATCTACATATTTTTACATACTTATTTTCATGATTTCTACTCTTTATTTCTATCCTTAACTAGATTACTGATGTCTTCTTTAGGAAGGATGAGGAGTCTCATAATTTGGATATATTTCTCCTTTTCCATTTTCCTATTCTCCCCTCGGGTTATGCCATTGCATCAAATTGATTTTTGTCTTGGTTGTTTTACATCATAGTTGCTTCTTTGAATGAGAGGTGGGGTGAGCTTGGACTCCACTGCCAGGTCTCCCAGGATCCCTTGCTCTGCCACTACTGTGTGGGTCTCAGTTTACTGAGACAATTCAAGTGCCCCTCATGGGGTTGTTATGAAGAATCAGTAACCTAGTAAGTTGGTTTTCCAAGTGTGGTCCCCCTACCAGCAGCATCAGCACCCTATGGGAACTTGTTAGAAATGCAAGTTCTCAGGCCCCACTGCAAACATACTGAATCAGAAACTCTGGAGCTGGGACCCCTGGTAATGAGTGTTTTCACAAGCCTGCCAGATGATTCTGATGCAGGCTTAAATTCGGGAATCACTGATTTAATGTATGTTAAAACATCTAGAACATTGGCACATACCTCACTCTTGGTGTCTGAGGTTCAGGTTAGGTACGAGGGGGGCCTGTGTCTGAGGCTGTATTTCTTTGGCTAACTAATTGGTTCAGAGAAGAACATGTGTCCCAAACTGGGCTAAGAGCCCTATCTGGACCTTTGGGTAGAGCTTTAGGGAAAGAAATGCTTCCTTTTTTTTTTTGATGTGCCAAGATAATAGGGCCTTGAAGCTATTGGTGGCCATTGTTATCACTACAAGGAGAAGTTGACCTGAAAATGAAGTTTATGCAAAGGAAAATAGAGCTGAGAGAAAAATAGGGAGGGAAGGGAGAGGGAGA